GCTGGCGGCGATATTGGCAGCCGACCTTCGCCGCCTCGCCTTCAGTTCGCGGAATCGCAGAGCGCCCGCCCGCCCTAGGCCCCGGGCTGCCCCAGGCCCTTGGGCCCTTGGGCCCTGAGAAGGGCTGCGCTGGGCTGCGCCCCCGACGACGGCCACCCCTTCCCCGGCCGCGCGCCACACTGCCAGGCACTGCCACGCCCACGCGAGCGCGTTTTTCCAGTGTGGGACTGAAGAGGAGGCCCCGGCGGGTTGGCGTCTGCCGCCCAATTGCCGCCATCCGAGCGAAAAGCCGAAATCGACGCGGCGGGGCGGCCGTCTGTACACTCCACGACACGGTCGACACGGCGAAAGGTACACTGCCATCTCGCTCTGGGCGTCGCGCCTTGCGTCCCGCCTTGCGTCCCGCCTTGCGTCCGCCGCCTCGTGAGCCGAGCCGGCCCGAGCCGCCTTGAACTTCCCACCGGCCGAGCGCCGCCAGCCCCTCCGCCGTTCACGCGACGTCAGAAGTGCGGCGGCGGTGGCGGTGCGCCAGCACACTGCCAGCACTGCCACGGCACTACAGCCCACCCACGTGACGTCACCGCGTCACCGCCCGAAGGAAAAACCATTTTCGCCGCGCGACTCCGCGACAAGTGACTCGCCGAAAAACGCAGTCGCGACTAAAAATAAGTAATGCGCGTCGCCTTCAGACTTTCAAATCGCTCGTCGCCGATCGACGTCACACGGCGTGCAGCCGCGTTGCCTGGCCGACTGATTCCGAGAGTCGTTTGCTCTCTTTCTCGCACGCATGGGGCGTTGGGGCGTTGCGCGTGGGTGGGAGAGAGACGCCCCTCCGGATGGTGCGCGGCCGTTGCCGGGCGATGCCGCGCCGATAAGCCCGGCCGCACTACCTGCGCCGCGTCGCCGCGTCGCCGCGTCACTGTTTATCTCGCCGGTTCAATTCGCACCCCGATAACGGCATGACGGCGCGCTGCGAATAGCCGAATGAGAAATGCCGCCGCCGCCGCCGCACTATCGGCACTATCGGCAGTCGGCGGCGGAGGCGTGGCAGTGGCGGTGCCTGCAGGCACGCCGGGCACGCCGTGCCGTGGGAAACGGCCGAAAGCGGTTCCCATTCGGAGCGACCGGCCAAATTGCCGCGCCTCCTTCTCCTCCTTCTCCGCGGCCCACAGGGCCTGCCTTGGGGCCTGCACGTGCACCTCGCGGACCTCGCCGCGGACCGCGCGGCAGAAACAGCACGTGGCGTTGGCCAAGCCGGCCAGGCCGAACGCCTTGCCCCACGCGCGGCGTGCCGCGGCGTGCCTTCGGTGCCCGGCCCTGCACGCGTAGCGTAAAGCCGCCACACAACACCTCGCGCAGGACGATTGGACGCCAGAGAGGCCCTCGGGGCACTTAGTCTTTCTGCTCATTGCGACAGCGCGACGGCGTTCGATAAGCGTGCGGTCGAGTGGCACCGTCGGTGACGGCGTCCATGACGTCACGCGTCCGTTTCGTTGCGATAGTCTCATCACCGGCAGTGTCGCCGCCCACGCCGACGCCCCGCCCAGCCGCCCGGCCTCCCGGCCGCCGCGACCGCCTCGGTGCGGTATGGTAATCACACGTGGATCGCCTTGTCCGGCAACTGGACCGGGAGGCTGGGCCGGGCCGGGCAAAGAGGGCACCGGGAGGGCACCGGGAGGGCGCGCGCCTCGCCGAGCCGGTCCAGACCGGACGGCCGCCCGCACCGCCGGCCGCGCCGCCACGCCGCGACACGCACCCAGGCCAGGACCAGGGCGCGCCCAAGACCAAGACGTTGCCGACGTGCAGAGGGTGGGTCTGTGGGGCACAGGACGCAGCAGGCCACGCCAAACGCCAAACAGTTTCCCGGGCGAGGCCGCGGGCCGCGACAGTGGCGCTGCGCGCTGCGCTGCGGCGCGTGGCCGCGTTGGCTGGAGCTTTGGAACGGGCGCTGGAGCGCGCTGGAGGCTGCAGGGACCAGTCGGCCCGCCGGACTCGGTCGGGCTCACCTTGACGGGGGAGCCAAGGAGGTTTTTCTTCGGAGACGGGGAGGGGCTCGGGGAGGGGGGTCATGGGCCTCCGGATGAGTCAAGCGAGTCAAGCGGCTCCGGCCCCTCGACGGTGGCAGTGTCGCAGTCGCCAGGCGGGCGGTGCGCGGTGCCGTACAGCAGGGATTAGCATAGCGCCACGGGCCATGCCGCCACGGGCCACGGGGGAGCAGAGCACGCTGAGTCATGACGACTTTGGCAGCCATAAACCGGGCGCGCTATTTCAGGGCGCAAAGGGGTGCGATCAAGGGCGCTCCCCGAGAGTGCGGCACAGCGGTTTGCCATCCCGCCGCGGCCCGCGGGCTGCGTCTGGCACGGCCACGGCCGTCATGCCCCACGCCAGGACCCTCGTCGGCGAGCTCGTCCGCGTGGTCGGCCACCCCTCCGCGGCGCACTGCGCGCGTGCCGCGGACGCCCCGGCCGAGGATTAGATTAGGCGCGCTGCCGCGCTGCGTCTGCAGACAGCCTCAGCCTTGGTCGCACCAGCAGCCCGCGTTCCCACCAGCAAACCCAACAGTGTTCAACATTCAAAACCGAAACACTTCCTCCTCCTTTTTTCCCTTGACAAGAAAGTTGGGCAAGGGCGACTATGAGCCGCGCGCTGTGGGCAAGGCCGCCCACTGCAGGCCCCGCCCCGCCCCACCACGGCAGGCACCCGACGCGATCCAGTTTTCGACATTCGCGCCCAGAGCGGCCCAGAGCCCTGCCGAGCGGGGTCAGGCCCGCGCGCTCGCACACACACAGGCGCGGGCACACACACACAGCACCGCTCCCATACAAAGTCAATCAGTGGCGCGCCCTACCGGCCACGCGGCCAATTACTGCATCCTACTTATGCCCGGCCTGCTGCGCCGCTGCGCTGCACCGCTACGCCCTGCCCGCCTGGCTGCTGCTGCTGCGGCCCGCCGCCCGGTCAAGAAGCCTCGCAGCCTGGCCGTCACCGAGAGCAGAGCTTCGCCCGGCTTCGGATAGAGAAATTGAGTCGGCAATGGAGTCAAGGCCGACTCGACACGCGGCCGCCTTTTTCCGGATTATCATTTTCCGCTTCGACGCAGAGCGACGCAGGGCGACGCTGGGCCGCGCCACGGCCATGCAGTGCAGTGCGAGCGGCTCGTCACAGGAAAGGCTTTGGCTTGACGATAACCACGCCAAGGCAAGGGACAAGAGGCCACATCCTCCGACCGGCCGACCGGCATCCTCGAGAAGAGTCCACCTTTTCCCACTGTACGGCGGCAAATGCGAAAGACGGCGGCAGCGACGACGGGCACGGCACCGCCCCAGTCCGACCCGACCCGACACGTTAGCCATGATTAGCATTCAGAAGCCGTGCGCGGAGTCGCGGGGGAGGGGGCCGCATTCGGAGCACTGGGAGGGCGGGACGCGTCGTCGGAGGAGGAGGACCGCGAGGGTGCGCGTCCAGAGTCCAGCAGTCCACGCTCCAGCGCCGCACCGCGCTTCGCGCTCCGCTCCAGCGCCGTCCGTCCGCCTCGTCCTTCCTCGTCCAGTGTAGCGGCGGGCTGGCCGGACTGGCAGGGCTGGCAGGGCTGGCACCCCGTCTCGCATTATGCAATCCAGCGCAACGCAACGCCAAGCACTTCGCGGAAAAGCAGAAGCAGGCGAGGCAGGCCAACGCGGCCAACGCGGCGAACGCCACCGCGACGATGAATGGCCAAACGGCACGCCAATCAAGGCACGCGGCACGCGGCGCCGAGGAGAAGAGAGGAGGCCTTCGGGGCGCCGTGGCGTCGTGGCACCGCCCCGCCCCCAACGCCAAAACAGAAGCGCGGGGCGTAACGCGCACTGACACACAGGGACGCCAGCCGCCGCGCCGCGTCCATTCCCCCGAATTGCAGCCGGTGGGCCGGTGGGCAGATACACGGCGACCTTGAAGGAGAAGAGGACACGCCGCTTGGCTTGCTTGGCTTGCTTCGCTTCCGGCTCGGTGGCGTCACTTCCGGGCCGCGGCCGGCCCGGGCTTGACTGGAGCTTAGCGCGGTGCGGCGCGGTGCGGCGCGGTGCGCGGGCGTGGGGGGCGCTCGGCGCGGAGCATCGGACAGGACGGGACGGGACAGGCGGGGGCCCTTTTTGTTTCCAGCAGACGACGCGCCGGGCCGCCTCCACTGTCCTCGGCCAAGCCTCGGCCGTGACGCCGCGGGACTCGGCCCGGCCGTCCCGAGGGCCCTGGTCCTGGTCCTGGTCCTGCCGGCCCTGCCGCGTACAGCCTCACCAGAGTCCGCGGTCCGCGGCCCCGGCCCGCGAGGCTCGCTCGCTGCAGCCGAAGATAATCGGCCCACGGCGAAAAAAATGAAACACGGCTTTGGGTTTGCGGTGGTGGGAGGACTGCCTGGGCCTGGGCCTCGCATGCAGTAAAGCCGTCCGCGCTCCGCGTCTGTTTGAGTGTCTGGCGCTGATAATGCCGCCAAGGTCACACGCCGCACCGCGGCCAGGTCGGCGGATGGGTCGCGGTCCTCGCCTAGGGCAGGACGGGCAGGATGAGGACGACGCGAGCGACGCGACGCCGCTCCTCGCCCACCGCACTCAACAGTTTCCGATGGGCTGCGCCATGGCCCTCCTGCCCCGCCCCGCCCACCAGCTCCGGGCCGGGACCGACTTTGATGGCTGTGTTATGCCTCTGCCTCTGCCGCACACAGCGAGAAGCAACAGAGAATCTGCCTGGTTACAGGTTTAACGCCACCGGCAGACGGGCAGACGCACGCGCGTCGTTCATTCATGCCGAGGGACGGCCCGCCCCATTCCAGGAGACTGATTCCGAGAGTCGTTTTCGTCGCGCTGTCTCTCTCGCACTCATGGGGCGTTCCGTACGGGTGCGAGAGAGACAGAGCGACGGAAGCGACTCTCGGAGTCAGTCTACAGGGGCTGCGGTGGTTCATTACTCCAGTGGGATCCGAATGAAAGGGAAGGGGTAGGAATGAATGGCGATGTTGACGTGCTTACCTGCTAGATGTTTCGCTGAAATTTCCGCCATCCAACAGCCGCACTTTGGCGAATAAAACCGCACTGACAAATGGAACGGCTGTCAACTCCTCCAGGAGAACTGAGACTTGAAACTTGTATTTTTTCTTCTTCATCATAAATGCCATACTTCCCGCGGCACACAGCTTGTCAACGTTTTGTCTCAACTCAAGCAACACTTGTGCCTTGTGGCACAATTACTGATGCTTTAGGGAAGTGACCGTGGGTTTGTAATTGGTGTCAAAGCATTCAACACGACACTCCTTTCCATTGACCATGATTCACATTGGCCGAAGCGATTTCACAGTGTACTTCCTGAAAGTCAGTAAATTTAAATTACTTCAAAGCCAGCAGAATCAATTCATTCTCATACAAAATTCTTTGGAGCAATGACTGTACTGTTTCTTAACTGAAAAAAATAGCATGATATTCTAAGTCTCATATTTTAGAGAATAATGCACTTAAAAGGATATTATTAAGGCAACCATAACCCTTAAGATTAAACTTTGACAGTTGTACAATAAAGGAGAATGAAGAATAGAGGCAAATATTGTGATAATAGGTCTTACAATTTCACACCATAAATTAAAACTTTTAAGTTGTACAAAAAAATACACAAACTATGGCACAGACATAACCTCAAAATTATTCTGTCAAGCCAAAGAAAAAAAAACAGAATTAGGCTGAAATAAAGAAGAGGCAGGAAACTTGATACGGGTCACACAAGTGTTTTGAGATTCTATGCCGGGATAATCCTCAAAAAATTCCCAAAATACAGCTAGACAAGTTAATTTTCTTAGTTTATGAGAGATGTCAAATGATCGAGTTCATTGCGGTCCATGACACCACAAACATACCGAAAACACACAGTTTCCAACACCGCGATAGAATTAAAATCGCAACGACGTCACGCCACTTCAGGTAGGAAACGTCAATTTCGTTCACGGGTTGGGTTCGCAAAGGCCAAAACAACGAATCTACGGGACGGCCACGAAACGAAACACACGCGCGCAACCTGCCGTCAGTGAGTCCCAAACAACACTGAGCGAGAGAGAGCGATAGCGGAGCGAAAGGCAGTCGTGACGGGGAAGGGAAGGGGAGCCGGTTAGTAACCGCTTTCGCCAGTAGGAGTCGCTAGTATCGCTGGAGGTCGGTCAGCGGCCAGCGCGCTGCTTTCCTCCCATTCAAAACAAATATTGAGGCATGTACGACCCGCGAGAGAAGTCAAAGAGAAGACCACCCAACAAAGTGCTCACACGACGCTTCCGAATCAGTTTTGTGGAGCGGGTGTCTTTACCTAGGTAACGAAAACAGCGCGATGTTTTGAAGTAAAGAGTGTTTTCGCGCCAACGAACAGCAGATGACAGTCGTCGACGGCTCTGGTCGAATGTGAATGTGAATCGGATGAGAAGGGGAGAAGGGAAGTGCAGAGGAAGGGGGAGCAAAGGGAAGGGGGAGAAGGGGAGGGGAGGGGGAGAGAAGAGACCCTTCCGCACCGTAAACCAGCTGACTGATTGAAGTTCGAGTTCGCGCAACGAACTGAAAAGCAGAGCAACTTCAAGTGTTCTCTTCGAGTCGCAAAACTTTTGAGTCAGTGGTGGGATTAATCTGCTCCTTCGCCAATACCTCCAGAGAATGCTCGGACGATGGAGGTGACAGATGTGATACAAAGCGTAACAGGCGGTCTGTCGTCTGTGTACTGGTCGTCGCTCAGCACTGTGGCGTTCAGTATCAGCGAATATCAGGTAATTTCTTCTATGCTCAAGTGGCCAGAGGGATTTGCAAGCGTGCCCTGGTCAAGACCGTTTCCACCCACAATCCCACTGAGGGATTCATGCGCTGTATTGTCTGCGGGATTCTAGTATAACCTCCACGGACTGCCCTGCACTTCCGTGTCGCCCAAAGTCTATTTACAAACAAACAAAGCCCGTATTTGTTTTTATTTGCGCATCCATTTTCTTCGTGCAGCCTTTCACGTATCAGATGTTGTCCAGACTTTCATAGCACTATGTCATCAAAACTATTGTCCTCAAGCTTGTCATTGTGTCTGAGTTTTTCTTGTCCATATGACTAATCATGATTCATAATGTCTCTTGCATTCTTTGTTAACTGTTGAAGTCAATGTGCTATCCAACGTATTGAAATTTTTGAATGTTCTAACATTTGTTTTGCTGTGAAACTACTTTTCATTTCATATCTTGTCATTTTTCTGAAAATTGACCTATACTTTGTTCATCTTTTGTTCTATTCCTGCATTGAACTTTGAAACTGAACCTAAAAAAGAAAGGTCACAGCTATGGCTAGCTCTCTATCATTTGAAATTCAAATGCTCAAAGGAAACACAGTGGTATGACATGATCATGGCTTGTCATTAAGTTACAAGTACTATTCTACCTACCTATTGGCACACTGTGCAAGTACTTTGTTGTCCTAATATTGAATGAAAATTGAATAAAATTTTCTGAAGGGAAAAGATAAGGATCCTCTCAACTCATCCAATCCAATCTAATCTCTTGCTACATTACTTGTCTTTATCTATAGCTGTAATCCATGCCTTTGTCTCTTGGAAGTGCCTTGAGAACTTTAGACCTAAGTTCATAAAGCCTTACTAGCTACTGGTATTGGTGAAAGGGTGGCCATGCTTGTTATGGTACACTAGACCTCTTGTTTTGGAGCATGGTTTTGCTGAAAGAGAAATATGGTTTTCAAATGTTAATTTTGTTCTCTTTCATTCTTTAGATTACAGCACTTGCACTAACTGTAGCATTATTTGCTACAGTTGTTTGTATTGTGATATGGAAATGGAAGACAAAAGGTATGCCTGTCAATACTTCCCTCAATTTATTTTTATTGTTATCCAGTTTCTTATTTCTATGTTGTAAATTTTCATGTTGTGCAGAACGTGTCCTAGCAGAAGTCAAAGAGTTGGTTGGCGTTGGCTCTGGCCGGCCACGATTCAGAAAACGGGACAAGGTTTTATTTTATGGACGGAAAATGCTCCGCAAGGTTACTTCTTCTTTTTTTTTTTTTTTTTAATTTTTTTTAAGGTCAAACCATAACTATTTCTTTAAACATATCTTTTTCCTTAGGTGAAAAACATCTCAGGGCAAGTCCATGGTGGCCAGGGCAAAAAAAGACGTTTGGTGATGAAATTTGCTCGCCGTATTCTACAACTCAAGAAAGATACTACTCCTATGCAGCTCAAAGTTCTTGAGCCCCCCAATGAATATTTAGAGGAGGACATATCAAGCACAGATGATAAACGTGTACCACCAGATGCTCTATACATGCTTCAAAGCATCAGAGTGTTTGGTCACTTTGAAAAGCCAGTTTTTCTGAAGTTATGTAAACATACAGAAATAATTAATCTTCCTGCAGGGTCATACCTTTTCAAAATTGGTAGGTCCAACCATGCAGTATTGTTGAGTTCATGTTATGAATCCCGTCATAAGTCAGTCATTCACTCTTGAAAAAATCTATTTTAGGTGACCCTGATGAAAATGTTTATATTGTACAAAATGGCAAAGTCAATGTTTTTATCACGGGGCAGGATGGTTCAGTGCTTACATTAAAATGTGTGAAGACAGGAGAATCTGTAACTTCACTTCTTAGTTTTACTGATGTCTTAACTGTAAGTATTTTTGACTCAAAGGTTCCTAAATATTTTTATCCCAGAGAAAACTAATGTAATTTATTTTCATTGCATTTTAGGGACATCCGAATCCCTACAAAACAGTGTCTGCCAAAGCAGTTGAAGACTCAACTGTTGTTCGTCTTCCTATGGCTGCTTTTCAAGATGTTTTTCATGATTACCCTGACATTTTCATTAGAGTTATGCAAGTAATCATGGTACGCCTTCAACGAGTTACTTTTACCGCCTTACATCAGTATTTGGGTCTTAGTGCAGAACTTGTAAATCCTGTAAGTAACTTGTCTTAAATCTATAGTACTTAGGTATTTTTTCTTAAAATTTATATATGGTTTCAATTGGTGATTTTGTTTTCTTCTAGGGTACTTCAGGCCGTAGGAAAATGAGTCCCTTTATGGGCTCTCCCATCAAAGTAAAGCAAAAGGATGTGGGGAAAGACGGAGATACTGGTAAGATCCCTAAACTGAAGTAGGGCATCAGCTAAAATAGCATTTTGATTTCTGTACTCTCAGTTAACACCTCAATTATACCTTCCACAGCTTATGACCATCAGGACGGAGACCAGGCTGATACTGCTCCTCTATCTAGTAGTCGTCCTCACTCTCAACCAATCAACATTATGCCAACTCATCGACGCACCAGGTCTGGTCATGAGTCTAGTATCTCTTCAGATATATTGCCTGAGGGGGACTCTGCTGCTTCCTCATATCAATCCACAGGCACAAGTCAGGTAATGTGTAAATTATTTCAATAACAGTAATCAACAAACAAAATTACTGGTTTAAAATTGTTAAACATATTTTTCTAGGGAGCCTCAGAAGGTCACTCGGCACACAGCTCTCGCAGGAGGACTGCAGCACCTTCCCTCACTCCAAAGCAACATGCCGAACAAGTTCAATTGGCAACAGAAGCCTTTGTCAGAGAATTAGGTTTGGAAGATGATGCCCTCCTACGAGATGGGAAAGTCGAACTGAGAGAGGTCCCTGCAGGTACATACTTAATGAAAGAAGAATCCCACAAGGTATGCTTTTTAATTAAATTTGATTTTGTTTTCAACATTTGTTTTATTTGACTCAAATTAATCAATTTTTATTCCAAACTGCCCCCCTCCCCTTTCCTTCCTAGGATGTCGCTTTAGTTTACTTGTTGTCTGGAACACTAATTGTGTCACAGAAGCTAGCTGATATGCAAGAAGAAGTGCACATGTTTACTGCTCACCCAGGAGAAATGGTGGGAGGCCTTGCTGTATTAACTGGTGAACCAAGCTTTTTCACTATCAGAGCGAAACATTTTTCTTGTATTGCTCTATTATCAAAAACAACATTTTATGGGTAAGTCACAAGTATTATGCGTTTAGTATAAAGTTTCATATCACTGCATGCTCTAAAACTTTGCTCCATTCTTTTACAGACTGATGCGTGAACGCCCAAGAGTAGTACTTCATATAGCTAATACTGTCGTGAAGCGCTTGTCTCCGTTTGTGAGGCAGGTGGACTTTGCTCTTGACTGGGTCTTCATGGAAAGTGGTCGTGCTGTGTATAGGTTGGTAGTCTTACAGAGTCTCATCTTAATCCTGAGTAATATTACTTCTATTTTGGGATAATTGTTATCCACTTCTTTGGTTTGTTTGTAGGCAAGGTGATGAGTCAGACAGTACCTTCATTGTTTTGAGTGGGCGTCTTCGTTCGGTTATTACTCATGCCAATGGCAAGAAGGAAGTAGTTGCTGAGTACGGAAAGGGCGATCTCGTTGGTATTGTTGAAATGGTGACTCAAACTCCTCGCAGTACTACTGTCATGGCTGTGCGAGATTCTGAGCTTGCTAAGTTGCCAGAGGGCTTATTTAATGTAATTAAACTGCGTTTCCCCATAGTTGTCACAAGGTTAATTAATCTTCTTGGACATCGTATTTTGGGTTCTTGGCAGAAGCCTAGCATTGGTCGCACTGTTGACACTCGGCCTGCTCAAGTTAATTTCTCAACTGTTGCTATAGTTGCGGTGTCAGATGATGTTCCTTTAATGGCATTTACATATGAACTATATCACTCTTTAAATGCAATTGGACCTACATTGAGACTCACTTCAGAGCTGGTTCGAAAAACCCTTGGAGCTACCATCATGGATCCAAATAATGAGTACAGGCTCACTTCCTGGTTGGCACAGCAAGAAGACCAGCATCGCATTTCTTTGTACCAATGTGATGTCACATTCAGTGCCTGGACTCAAAGATGTGTGCGCCAAGCTGACTGTGTATTAATAGTTGGCTTGGGAGATAAAACTCCCACTATTGGCAAAATAGAGAAGGAGGTAGACAAGCTTGCTATCAGAACTCAAAAGGAACTTGTCTTACTTCACAAAGAAGGTGGACAGCCACCAAACAATACCGTAACGTGGCTCAATATGCGTTCATGGGTTTCAAGTCATCACCATATTCAATGTCCAAAACGAATGTTTGCTAAACGTTCTCAGTTTAGAATTGTAAGTTCTTATATTATGTTTTGTCTCTTCCTTATGTATCTTGAACAGATTTGTTTCTTTCTGTCATTACTGACTTGCAAATTTTTCGTTTTTAGAATGAGCTTTATGCCAAAGTACTGACGTCAGAACCCAACATTCACTCAGACTTTTCCCGATTGGCAAGATCCCTCACAGGAACATCTGTTGGACTTGTTTTGGGTGGTGGCGGCGCTCGTGGAGCTGCACATGTTGGCATGATCAAAGCAATCCAGGTATGGATCCTTTTTGAAGGCCTGCTCAAGAAGTTGCTTGTAGTATGCAGCTTTCACCTCCATATTCTTTGTGTCTTTCAGGAAGCTGGTATTCCCATTGACATGGTAGGAGGTGTTAGTATTGGAGCTTTGATGGGTGCCTTGTGGTGCATGGAAAAAAATTTGACTACAATGACGCAGAAAGCTAGAGAATTTTCAAGGGTAATTATTTTTGTTCAACTTTGTGGATAACTTATATCTTGTATCATAATTCATTTTCTTTTCTTTTTTCTCAGTTAATGACTCAGTGGTGGAGGCAACTTCTAGATCTTACATATCCAATGACATCAATTTTTTCTGGCAAAGACTTTAATCAGACAATTCAAAGAACTCTAGGAGACACTTACATAGAAGATTTGTGGCTGCCATATTTTACTGTCACCACTGACATCACATCAAGTGTCATGAGAATTCATACACATGGTAAGTGTTCATCTCTCTTTCTCTCTCAAGTTACAGTACTTCCACTGTAGAATATCTTCAAAGTACATAACTCCCTTTTTTACATTCTAAGAAAAGGGTGAAATTTTCCATAAATAAATATTAGTGAAAAAGCTTGCCTATTTTTAAAATACAGTGTAGCCAATGATGTTTGAAGTAATGTGTGTTTTAGATCACCAAGTATTTTATTTTCCTTTCTGCAGTCTTGTTGTTTAAGTTGTTCACAAAGTAGGATTTCTATTTCTGCCAGAAAAAGACCATTGCTCTGAAACACAGCTGCAGCTGTCTGGAAAGGAAAATGACTTCTTGTCTCCGTACATAGCTGAACTGCTACAGCTTGTAGTCTGTAACCTCAGTCACTTTTCTGTTCCTTTTTGTTGTCTGAGACATTAACCAACTTATTTATAGCATCATCTTCTTTCAGCCTCACACTCGGACACATTCCCCAATTGTTCCTTCCCACTTTCAATCAAATTCTCTCTGAAACTCCCAAAACTGCCAAAACTCATTCTGGACAGTCTGTCTTGTCTGTTTGTTCTATGCTCATGTCCTACGCCTGTAATGAGCTAAATGTGTTTTTAGAAGTATTTTGTTGGAAAGGTAACTACGGTTTTGCAGATGTTGGACAAACCAATGTCAGCTGGGTTTCTTTTTCATGTATTTTTTTTTTTTTTTTTTTTTTAACTAATTTGCTGGGGTACTCAACTTTATTATGGGAAATATGCAAACAGTCCTTTATAAATTTTAAGCATTTGCAAACCAGTTAAGTTATGCACATATTGTGTTACCTTTTCAATAGCAGAGAAAACAAAAAGTCTCAGCACTCATCATCTTCGTATAGTTGACACCATCTCCTTTTTTTTCACTGGAGCCCTGAATATTAGCACACTGACACTGTCTTTTATTTTTTGTTACGCTCGTCTGAATACATTGCTAAAAAGTTGAATAATTGAGTATTTCTTGTGTTCTGGAGTATTGATAGATACATTGTCACTTAGGTGTAGGTGGTAGAACTCAGTTGTTTTTGTTTTCCCATGCATGGAGATAAGTTTTTTTGGATTTTGCACTAAAAATTATTAAGTTGTTGCCTGTTTGTGCAAGTTAAAATGTACTCTTAGCGCATGAGGTGGTTTTCCACTTCATCTTTTGTGGTGGGCATGCATATTTTTGCTGCAGCAAAAGGTGACAAAAGCTTATGAATTGCACAGGTACACTTTGTACTTACATTGTGGACCTTAAATACCGGTAGTAACATACCCTTTGGATACACCTGCTTTCTTATTTTTCTGCATATCTTTGTCCTTCCCTGCTTTGGAGCAAGTTTAAAATTGGGTGAGCTTCCTAAAGCACAAATTAAATACAGCTCGGCCTCACTGAAATGTGTGTTGGTTTTTTTGTGTTGTTTAATTCTTTGCAATTAAAAAATGATACTGAAATTCAAAATTAGAAGATTAAGAAACTGTTTAAATCCATTCAACTTATTAAAAAGTTAAAGATAAATAAAAGTCCAATTTCACAAGAGAACTCTTACTAAGTTGCTTTGATCACTTCTTCCATTTTACCTGGGTTTTGTTCTTAATTTCAATTTCGATTGTTAGGCGCAAGTGCAGTGCGGGAAAATGCTATTGAGCATAGGATGTTCTGATTTGAAATGTGTGCAGGATCCCTATGGCGCTATTGTCGCAGCTCTATGTCTCTTTCTGGCTACATGCCTCCCATGTGTGATCCACTGGATGGCCATCTTCTTCTGGATGGAGGCTATGTCAACAACTTACCAGGTAAAAGCTTAGTTCCGGACGATTTTTTTCTGCATGTTCGCATTTATTTCTGGTTTGGGGCTTCTGTTTAAATGGTTGTGGTCACATTTGTTTGTACAGCTAATGTGCCTAGCTAGCTTAGCTTTATGTGGCAATGAGTTCTATTTTTCTCTTAATCTTTAGTCATCGCTTCTCTGTGGGCATAGATTTGCTAGGTGTTTCAATTTCCCCCAACATTTGTACTAGGAGGGTGAGGTGAGTTTCAAGCAAACAGACAGACTGTCAAAAGAATATAGGCATACTTGTACTAATCTCTTTAATACTTTAAACAAAAAAAAAAGATATGTTACTTTTGGCATGAATGCTTTCAGTTTCATTTGGAACTGCATAAAAGTTAAAATGGTATACATTTTAAATCAAAAGAATATTAACTGATGGAAATGAAGAAAAATATTTTCCGGTTTCGGTTTTTAATTAGAAGTCTTAAATCTATTCCTACAATACCCCGTGCCCTGTGCCGAGCTGTGAGTGCTTTTCAGAAGGCACAATTCACAGCTTAGTACAATTTCAGGGGAAGCCTGGCGGTATGTACGTTCAAGCATGTCTATTGTCGGAATTCTGCCCCCTCTTTGTGATCCCACTGATGGGCATCTTCTTTCTGATGGCTGCTACGTCAACAATTTGCCAGGTAATTTAACCAGGAGCAAGGCGCTATATGATTATTACTGGTTACTGGAATAACAACTGCCAGTTTTTATAGAGCAGATTCTCATTCTGGTGTGTCAGTTGGTGTTTTATCATGTTTGGTGATGGTGTCTGTGGAATTTGACTGAGGTCAAGTTTTAAGTGCTGTGGGTTGGGAGGTGGGATATTGTACAATGAATTTGTCAGGACACAATCTTCATTAAGCATTCTGGTCAGTAAAGATATATCATTGTGCCGGTCTTTCAGTTCATTCAGTGCTTGGGAGTGCTGCTTTGTGTATTTTCATAATGATCCCTCTGTTGTAGAGTATAAACATGTAATGCTTATTGTTGTTTGTCCATAAACAAATAAATCTTACCTTTATTCCTCAATGCTTTCATTTTCAGCTGATGTGATGAGGAGCATGGGAGCAAAGCACATTTTGGCTATTGATGTTGGATCACAAGATGAAATGGATCTCACAAACTATGGAGATTCATTGTCAGGATGGTGGCTATTGTGGAAACGCTGGAACCCCTTTACAAGTCCTGTTAAAGTTCCCAGTATGCCTGATATTCAGTCAAGACTCGCTTACGTTTCCTGTGTTCGACAACTTGAGGTTTGTGGCTTTTTCCTTGCCAGGCATGGATTTTATTATTTCGACCTATCGCACTCCTTTCTTATACATTCTGTTTGATTTTCTCTTATATCCATCCAGGAAGTAAAGAATAGTGATTATTGCGAGTACATTAGACCTCCCATTGACAAATACAAGACACTTCAGTTTGGAAGTTTTGATGAAATTAAGGCAAGTATGCTACTTCCTATTTCAACTGTCCTTCAAACATGTCAGCCATTTTATTATGATGGAAATACTTATAAATGATTTATTTTTACTGTTTGGGGTTCTAGGATGTTGGGTACAATCATGGAAAAACTTATTACGCTGGCTTAATGAAAGCAGGACAGATGCCACTTCTGCAGCCATCCTATCCTACAGCATCACAGAGTGCAGAAAAGACTTACCACCCAACACATTCAGCCCAAGCATCATCATCAGGATACACATTCACTGATCTAGCTCAGCTAGTGTGCAAAGTTCCACGCAACCGGTTTCTTGATAGTGGTGAGTTACTAAAAATCCTTCGGGTTACAGTATTTATTAGATGATAAAATTGCTTGTGTTTTGTGCTAATTTTGTTTGGCTTACTGACAGATTCCTCAGAAAGTGAGTATGAGGCTGACGAAGAGGATGCCCATGAAGTGGGATATGCCTCTGAACCATCAGCCGGCATCCTTGATGTAAGTTTACACTCAGACATGTATTTAGGGAGCTTTTAAATTTTAGATACTGTCTTATGAGACAAGATCTTAATTTCTCTCTCGTTTTTTAGGATGGTGATTCTGACACAGCTGAAGCTCATCGTCGAATTGGTGGATCCTTGTCTTTGTCAGAAACTGAAATGGATATGGAGTCTATTTTCTTGCCTAAACGTGCCAAATCAGTCAAAAGATTGCAGTAGTGCATTGAACAATGTCTGAAGGCATTTAGAACAATATTGGTCTATTTAATTAATTCAATTCATCTGTATTGATTCATACTTGTTAATATTTTAATTGTGTTTTCTGAATTCCTTACAAGCAGAGTGCTTGGCTTATGCTCAAAGGGCACTACATTTTTATTTCTAGAGCGTGTGGTTTTCTATTTTCTTCCTTTTTTTAAATGATTTGACGGGGGTTTTAAGGTGACTTGTCACCAGACTTTGCCTTTTATGTAAGTGCCATCTAGCCTACTGTAATGATTAAAGTGTTATGTTGTTCCATATTTACCTCTTTATTTTCTTGGAATATATAAAATGATCAGCATTCATAACTGTAATTTTTACCACAATGGTCTGAGTGTAAGCCCTCCTAAAATTATGTCTAAGCTTATCCTGGTGTTGAAACTCATTTCGGGGGAGACTTAGGAGGAGGGCTTATATTCAGACCATAACAGTAGTAAAAGGCTTAAATCACTGAAAATAATCTAGGACACAATAGATACTGGAATGCCTTGGTCTTGTAGAATCAACATTCAAAATACAACTGTTCATCACATATTTACATCAATGATTTTAACCTAAATACTTCTCTGTACTTACATGTAGGTCTATAGGCTTTAAAAATGTGGCTGTGATAGAATAGAACTCCTGGTTGGAAGTAGTCTGAAGGACTACTTTCTTTAAGTCTTTATCCCCTTGATTGTTTCTTAGTAAGTTTACAAAATATTGTGAGATTGATGTGTTGTGAGGAAAAATTGTTGCCAATGGTTGCATAATGTTTTTCTCCCTGACTCTTTGGTGTGTTAAGACTGTTCCATTGTCAATTTGGAAGTACTCTTCTAACATTTTTGAATCATGCTTTTATCCTGACCTATTTCTTGTTTCCTTTCGCTTGATAGACGCACATACTATCCGGAAGAAGTGCTGCCACGGTTGGGGTGAGACACACACCCTCTATAATAGCATCGGCTTCAGATTGATTGTCTTTTCTCATTTTGAATGGCTACAAGCTTAATTTTTAATTATACTGTCAAGAGTATCCTTTCTACTGTACATCACTGTGCCTGTTGCATTATCAATTTCTTCCACTGTTCCTTCTAGGCCCAACATTATTTTTGCCATTCAATGTTCTTTTGTTGGGCTTATGCTGGATTTACTTTGGTCATGTCTGAATTTCTGTGATTTAAAAGTTTGTAGACGTGTGTGTGCTTTATGGTTACTGAAACCTGACCTGAGGTGTTGGTATATCCAACTAGACTTTTTTGCTGCACAATTCAAATGGATGAATGCATGAATGTGAAGAATTTGGTCTGTGAACCAGGTATAAAAAAGAAATATGTATTATATGTGTGTTTTCATTAGATGTGCAATTTTGATCTATGTATTGTACTATTCCGAGCCAAAGCTCTCAACAGTCACTAATAAATTATGTGTGTTATGATCAGATGTGCAATCTTTTTGTACTATTCCCAGCAAAAGCTCCCAACAGTCACTAATCAAAGTCAAGATCACATTTGAAACATTTTTAATGTTCATCATTCAACACAGTAAAAAAGAGATTCTACAAAAATATAAAAATATAAATCTCAGTCTATTTCAAAAATATCTAAAATGAAGTTTAAAAATATTAATTCTAATGCTGTCCCTGATTGAATTGTTAAGAGAGAAATAAGTTTTATCTGTTACACCATATGTTCCTAATTCTATGATTTCTCAGACTTGATTAATTCTGGGTCAATGACACTTAAAACAGCTCCTACCAAATGTAGGGAACCAGTCACAAGAACACACCATTCCATATTTTCATCTTGTAATTCTGCAAGAGCATCATTGACTGAGTTCTTCAGATATACTTTAGGAGATGCAGAGCACATGTTACTATCATTTCCATTAGTTTCGACATTCTGATACTTGGCCACCCAAAGATCATATAAGGCTCTAGTCTGCTTCAGTTGACTTGATGTAGTCACTCTGAGATTCACTGAGTCACCTAAGACCAAGAAATTAACACATTTAAAAAGAAACAAATAAACTTTTAAAAGAAAAAACCACAGAACCACAAAACTACCTTTTGAAATGGGAGAGTGGAAAATATTTGGGCTAAAGAAGACTTTGTCAAATGCACAAGAAAACAAAGGCTTCATTATTTGTAGACAATCTCTATCTCCTGTCATGTTTAAAAGAAGGGCATGTCGAAGGCCAGGCCTAAAATACACCCAAAAAACCATTTATTAGTTACTGTGGAATCATTTTGGTTTCAAATTTTGAAGAAGAAAATAATTCAAATGGTTTCAAACATTGAAGAAGAAAAAAATTATACATACCTCATGGGCAGTGATCTTTTGTACCACTCCACACATGCACTCATACTTTCAACGGTATGGGCTCCATCCAAAAAGTACCTAATACGGCCACAATCTGATTCCAGAATGTGGTTTCTACCCGGCCAGCGACAAGCTAGCAGTCCAGTGGCGGTTTCTTCAGAGATTGAAAAAGATGGGGCTTCCTTCAGAGTGGCATTTGGAGGCAAAACTGTATTGACTGAAAAAAAAAAAAAAATCTAGTATGAGTGTTTAGTTTGAACTCAAATTAGCAAACTAATGGCTTCATGGGAATGAGAATTCTTGGGATTTCCTTGAGTTACAAACCAGAATTTGACAATAAACGTCTTTGAAACCACGCATTTGTTAGCTGCAAAGCCAAGGAAGCATTGATTTGTTGCGTCCAGAACAGAGATAGAGCAGCTTCCCGTGATTGCAGGGTAGGCCATAAATACTGATCCAGAGATGGCACAACTTCAACAGGGCACTTAAAAAAAAAATTACAAAAAAGAAAACATGAAATAAATTAAAAGTAGGGAAAAACCTTTTTCTCTTCTTCTTTGTCACTGAAAAAGAACAGAAGTATGACACTTACCATACGTTCAATAGATCTTTGTCTTATGACTTCAAGAGCCTCAGGAGCATGACCTGGTACAGTGTATGCTACAGCAGTAGGTTTTAGAATTCCTGCCTTTTGCCAAGCTATGCTAGGCAATGAGTTACCAAGCAAAGCAGTGTGATCTATGCCAAGGGAGGTAATACCAACTACAGATACATTTCTGAAAAAAAAATATTAAAAAATATAAATCAAAGTAACTTTCCAGTATCTTCTTCTGCCTCTCCTTCCTCTAAACATTACTTACTGCAAAATGTTAGTACAGTCTCGCTCTCCTCCGATTCCTACCTCTACAATAGCAACATCCACTTTCTCTTCGAGAAACAACCTGAAGGCCATCAGGGTTAAAAATGCAAAGTAAGGAGGCATACTTGAAGGAGGGATCTGTAAAGCATTTTAAACTTCATGAAAAAAGGATTCAGCCCAAGAGCAAATAATTTTTAAAAATTTGATGTGTTTCTATCACCTTTTGGCCCAACAACAAATCGTATGTTTTCCAAAAGTAGCTTGTAAATTTAAGGGTCGATATGGGGCGTCCATCTAATCGAATACGCTCCCTTAATGATACTAAATGTGGTGAAGAAAAAAATCCAGTACGAAAACCATTGTGCCGCAAAATGGACTCACAGTAAGCACTTGTTGATCCCTTGCCTTTGGTGCCAGCCACATGAATGACAGAGAGATTTGAAAGTTCATTTGGACCCAAACCAATCCTAGAACAAGAATAATTTTAATAAAACATTTAGATGACAATAGGCAATTATCTAGCATGACACTAGAGGGAATACCCAAGAACTGAAGGCATAGCTGACAGCTTACATTTCTGCACAACTTAACAACCGGTTATCATCATTTGTAGATCGCACTCCATCCTTGACCAATTTATTGATGTAGGCGGCATTGCTTTGAAGTGAATTAAGAGCTGCAACGGCATCCTGCAAAAAGAGGGCCAGCCTTAGGGATAGAAATATCATTCAACACAGCGAAACTCAGTAAGAATAAGACTGCACATTGGTTGCGTTACCTCATAGCTGCGCCCAGATGAACTGTTGCTGTGGGACATTTCTCTGCAGGCGACTTTGGCGCTTCCTAGCCAGGGGGGCGGACTGTGCCAGCGTTCCCCCGCATGGAGAAGACCGCCGAGACTCTGCCGGGGCAGAGACTGGGCCAGAGGCTGACTCTGGCGGCAGGAGCGAGGGCCGTGCACTCCCACCGCTCTCACCAGCTCCTGCATGCTGGCTTGGTTAGGGCCTCGCCTCGCCGCGCCTCGCCTGTGGCTCAGTGGACCTCTCCTCTCCTCCTCGCGTCTCTGATCTTGATTGTGGGTCGAGAAAAAAAGCAGATCAGGGTCACGGCGGCAGAGTAACTTTGCGGGTTTGCGGTCAAGAGGAAAAGGGGAGGGGAGGTATCTGTTTCCTGACGCCGCCTTCGTCTTCTGGGGACGGTGGGCAAGACGAGACTCGCACTCGCCTCCTCCAGTCACCTCGTTGGTTTATTCATAAGTACGTGCGCTCGTGGTGTGGCGACTACCAGTTAAATCGGGGGCAGCTATGGGGGTCAGACCAGTGACCAGAGTCCAGTCCGGGCCACTCGGCCACTCCGGTCTTGGCACGATTCAGAACGACCATTTCCCTTTACCCTTCCCGCGCCCAGCCAGCGGATTAGGTTTCTAAAACACGAATAAAACACACATCGTTCGGCAGCAGTCGCGCAACTAAAGAAGAGTACAGTGAAGTCTAAAGAGTAAAAACTTCCAACAAGGTGCTAACTAATGCACGTGATATTTCAGGTTAAGGGGTACTTTTGTTGTTTACAAACACAACACGAAGTATGAGAAGTTCGTGCTTCTTTCTTTTGTTCTTCCCCCTCCAACAGGATTGCGGGGAGGGGGAGGGGGAGGGGAGGCTTGCGCCTACGTTTTCCTACGCGTTTTCCAAGGTTTCTGAATCAAGATGGACATTTATTTCAAACGAAAGCTAAAATCTAGCTGGACCAGTACAGATTACAGGAGGTGAGCTCTACATAAATTCAATTAAATTGTAACTTATGCCTACATTTCACAATAAAATACAGGGGATGCAAACAATTACTAAAATCTAAAATTGACAAAGGTAAAATAAAAACTCAATTAACAGTCAATAAAATCAAACACTTATCTAAAGACTCTGTACATTATCACATGGGTAAAATATCACGAGATGAGCCGTGCCGGCGTTGCCCTACCGAATGATGCACCCGAACTGCCTCTTGACGCCGCTGCGGTCTTCCCTGGACTCCTGCAGGGCGCGTCGCCGCAGCTCCTTGGTGGTCTTGGCGCCCAGGAAGTTCCACATGCACAGCATCTCGTCCATCCCGGCCGTGGCCACGATGGCGCCGTCGGGGCTCCAGCAAATGTAGTTGATGGGGTCCTGGTGCGCCTGGAGGCGGTCCACCACCGTGGTCAAGTCCGACAGCACCGCGACCTGCGACACGCCTGGGCAACAAAAATCAAACAGAGGACTAAATAAATTGTGCGCCGTGTTCATCGCTGTTTCTGTTGATTGATCGCGCCTTTCCCACCTTTGCCGGAGAAAGCCACCACCAGTTCGGCGGTCCGCTGCGAGAAGGACAAGGCCGTCACGGACACTGGCTGGCGCTTGGCGCCCTGGTACGTGGCCGTCGTGGTGCGCCGCGACGAGAAGTTGAGCAGCGCGACGTCGCCCGCCAAGGTGCCCAACGCCACCACGGAGCTGCGCCACGGGTGCCAGCTCAGCGACTGCAAGCCGAGACACAGGAGTTGAGCCCTCGAAGCCCCTTCCAACGGCCGGGTAGGCACACCGCCGCACACGGCTGCGTCGGCCGCGCGGTTCGTTACTTCGTTACCGTGACGGACGACCCGTAGTCCAGCTCGTCGCCGCGGACGACGCCCGTCTCCCAGTCCCACACGAGCGCCGTTCCCATCACGCCGCCGCAAGCCAGCAGCACGCCGTCGTGGGAGAAGGACATGACTGAGATGCCACCGGACACCCGGTCGAACACCCGGGTGGACCGGAGGACCGCCAGCGTCGGCGTCACCAGGAACACGATGCCCGAGCAGGACCCCCTGACGGCAGAGGACGAGAACGGTCAGGCAGGCCGTCGGGGAAGTCCCACCGCACGCGGCAAGCCGCCACGCACACTCACATGGCGATGACGTCCTCGTAGGGGTGCCAGGAGATGGCGTTGATCGGGGCCAGGGGACCGGGCAGCTGCCGCGAGAACATCTCCTTCTTCAAGTCGCAGTCCCACATCTGCCAACAACGCGCACATGCGCACATCATCATGGCGCCCCGGTGAACCACTTGTAGTACTTGCAGCACTTGCCCCGACACTGACCTGGACCTGGCTGAAGCGGCCGGTGCCCATGGCGAGCAGGGCGCGGTCCGGCGACGGGCTCCAGCACAGCGACATGGGCTTGTTGTAGTCCTTCAGGCTCACGAGCAGCTCCGAGGCGCCCGCGGTCCCCGGCATGTTGGTCTCGACGGGCCGGCGCCACAGGTACACGCCGAACCGGCCCGCCACGGCCAGCACGCCGCAAGCCCCCCACGACATCAGCTGGTCCATGCGCGCCCTCGAGCCCTGTCGGCAAGCCCAGCGTCAGACAAGGAGCGCACTGCCGAGCGTCGCTTTGTCTCTCTCGCACCCTGACGGAGAGCCCCATGAGTGCGACAGAGACAGAGCGAGGAAACGACTCTTCTGAATGGCTCGGCTGACAAGCTCGGCTTGCTGCAGCCCGACGCACCGGGACCTTCGGCAGCTCCGGCATGCAGACCGACAGTTCCGGGGCGCCGACGAGCGGGTCGCGGCGCGCTCGGACGGGCCAGTCCTGGCGGTCGACCACCTTGACGTGCTTCGAGCTCGCCTCGGCGCCGTCCGCCGCGCCCAGCCCGAGGGGCAGCACGCGGGCGCAGCGGCGCTCCCCGATCAGGGCGTCCTCCAGCAGCCGCCGGTACGCGACGCGCCGGTCGCTTTTCAGGTCCTGCACCGAAACAAAGACAGCTCTTTTGAATCCGAATCAAGTTCCTTGCGACGCTACGTGAGCCTAACGGTACGCCACACCGCGGCGCGGCGGCGTCGTGACGTTTCTCGCCTCGCACTCAGACTCGGTTTGTTTACCTTTTCGAGGATGCTCTGCGCGGTGACGTCCGCCCACTCCGCGTCCGCGAGGGTGGACAAGCGCGAGTCGTGGCTTCGCAGTGAGCGGGGCGGTATGAAGCGGTCCAGGATCTGCGAGTTGGGTGTCGGTGCAAGCACGTCAGTCAACAGAACAACCGAGCTCTCAAATACGGCACCGTAAAAACCTAGAGGAACTCTTCTCTCACCCGATGTTTGTGCTGTCCGCTTTGTCGCGGTCTTGTTGGCCTCATGTCCCCCATGTTGGGCGGGTCAGACTTGCCAGCTGCAGTCCAGAGGCAGCGGGGCGATGCGGCTGCGTCGAGTCTCGTCTGACTGTAAACACCGGCGACCTGTGTCGTTGGCCATCCAACGACTGTCAACATGCTCGCTCGAGCCTTCTGGGACAGCCGCTCAGATGGCGCCAGGAAATCAAATGTTCGCCGGCGGCGAGCCGTCCAGGTGTGAAATGAGGCAATGCCGGTCTATGCCGCTTTGGGGAGAACCGACTTCAGTTTTATAAGTGTCGAAACTAGTGCTTTACTCCTTGGTCGTAAGTGTGTGTTTCTCTCTATTTCGGATGACGAAAACAAGGTGTCACGGTAGTCTCTTTCATGGGACTTCCCCAGGAGAGTTCCCGCCTCGTTGAAGGGTCTTGCGAGTGGCGGGCGGATTCCGGGGTGTGAAGGGCACGCAGGGAATCGTTTTGCCGGGATCGCGTGCCTCGGAAGGAAGACTTCCCTGCCCCACTGTTGTTCTCCGTCGGTGGCCGCCTCGGAGTAAAAATAGACCGCTGCGGTGTTTCTTCGCATTTGTTCCACCGCACCGCTCCAGACAGCACGCCCTACCGCGCTACCGCTTGCCGCTCGCCTCCTTTCGCCCTTTCTGGTGTAGGGCTATTGATTTTCCACCCCCTGAGGGGCCTGGGGCTGGGGCCGCCCTCCGCCCTCCGTCCTTCCCTTCACTCGGCCGGGGTGCGGGGTGGCCAGGGGGGGTGGCCGGGTTTGCCGCCGCGACCTGCTGTGCCAGCGATGGGCGAGGGGAAGGGGCGGGGCGGGGAGCGGGTCGAGCTTCTGGTTATCTCCACCGTCCGCGCCACCCGCGCTGTCTTCTGATAGTTTTCATTCCGTTTGTTTATACACGCAGTGGTTTGACAGCGATTTGTGTTTCGTGGTTGTGAGGAGAACCGCAAGCCGTATTTCAAGGTTTTTGCTTTTCGTGACTCCTGCTTTTTGTGAGGGACCGTTCTTTATTCATTGCAAGCGGCTGCCTGCATTTGTTGAGGTAACAATCGTAGGGTTTGTTCTAACCTCGAAGTTGTAAACAAAAGTGACATTTCCATTCAAACTTTTCATGGAACAGCCCTCATAATTCTTGTGTCATTTATTTTTTAGAATGAGTGGGCAAACTATTGCCGATCAAAAGGATCTCATCAAGGAATCGCTCCTTTCTTTTATTCAAACGAGAGTGCCCACAGCTCAACTGAGGTAATTTACCTTTGCAAGCTGATGTCCTTATATTTAGTCTTTATTAAATAAAATGCCTGTATTAATGGATTAACGTTGTTTTGTTTGGATTTTAGTGTGGACGAGATTGTTCTCAACTACTGTGTGAGCATTCTTGAGGAACTTGGAGAAAATCAGGATCATGATGAGTTTGATATAGAAGGATTTTGTGAAATGATGCAAGCGTTTGTTCAAGAATTTTCGACAATACCTCAAGTGGAGGTGGCTACTTGGATGTTTGAGCTGGAAGCCAGGCTGCGAGAGCTCCGAAACCAAGGTATACACCTCTTAAATTAATTAAATCATGACTAATTGCTGTGATAAATATTATTCATTTACCTTTTTTGATTTGCAGTCAATAGTGATGATCACAAATACGAACTGCTGTCTGCCCTGCTGGCACCACTTGCTGTGGACAAATCCAAACAACCATCTCGCACGCCACGCTCTTCTGAATCTAGCCTCCCTGGCAATGAAACTACTCCACCAAAACGAGTTTATTTGTTATCAGAAACAAGTGATGGGTCTTCTGATGGTTCAAGCAATGGTGACTGCCAAAGTGTTTATGATGTAGGTATTCATTATTATTGAAGGAGGTAAAGTAGGTCTTTGTGGCATTATTATAATTTTTGTTCCTTTCTTTCTGTTTAAAAGGAGGCTGTTTTTATATTGCAAGAGCTTTTCCCCATGGCAAGTCTCCCAGAGATTCAGCATTGTGTTTCTGTTGGCGATGGAGACCCTGGTGTTTCAGCTCAGCTCCTCATTGACCGTCAGGAAGCAGGCCTGAGTATTCTGGCCTCAACTGCTGTTATACAAGTAAAGACATAATAAATCATGATAGAATGCATAAAAACAAGGTGAAGAGTTCAATTTGCTGAACTGTTTTATGTTGTGATTCTAGGCAGGACTGCGGCAGAAACCTGTGAATGATGATGAGCTCAAATCACGCATTATTGCCAAATACAGCTATGTTGACCGTGAGGCTGAACACCGTGAACACCACCCAATTCAGCCTAAATCTGTAAGTGGTACCTTTATCATATGCTTCATGTTATGTTTCTTCTTTGTTCATGATTGTGACCTTTCAAATCAATGTTTTCAGGAGCCGAAGAAACTTGTTCGGTACAGAGACAACAAAATAGTGAGCTTGAAGGGAGAACGCTTTACTGAAGTGAAGCGTGAAGATATGGAGGAACCAAAAAAGCCTTTGGTTTCAGTGAAACCACAACGCAAAAATCACAGCAATCACTGATCTTTGTAGCAAGCGGCCGCTTGGGGCGCGGACCGCTTTGCAGCATGTGCTTGGCCCCTGCTAGTCATCAGTAAGGATAACTTGAATTTGGAATATCCAAATTATTTTATTGTGGTTTTGTTTTCTAAATTTTCTTTTGTTTATTTTTTTACAGCAGAGCGCAGCCCAGAAAGATAGTGATTGTGCAAGCGCAGTGCACACTTAGAAGGAGTATGCAGCTGCGAATACCTTGTGACAATTGTTGCTTGTAAGGGCAGCCTAGTGTCATACAAACCCTCTGTGATGTTAATTGAATGGGAGATATGAGATGAGTCTTTTCTGCCAATCTCCACATTATTTCACACTTTCATTTGTGCCAGTAGAATTTTAATGGAAATTCAGGCAAAAAATTTTAATGGGCATAGATTAGACCATTTAATGGGTGTGTAGCCATGATCTTTACCTATATTGCCGTCACCTTTAAATACGTAGTAATTCTCTGCTGGAGGTTTCTTTAAATTGGATATTTGTTGTGGTACAAAGATTTGGTGTACGCTAGACAATGTTTAAATGTCCTTTGAAAGACTATGTCCTTAATTCATTTTATGACTGTTATGGGGCATCCCTCGCCTTGTGCAGCAATTGGTAGTCATAGAAACACATAACCTTAAGGTTTATAAATCTCACATTGCCACATCTCATTGAAGTGTGCTCTTTTAACACACTCATCAGCTGCTTTCATAATGCCTTTCTTTAATATTTATTGTTGATGTGACACTGAAGATATTCTGCAGCAGAAGTACAGACTGCAGACAGGAGTGGCAGCAACAACTAATCCTTGATTGGTCTTCATCCATTGAACATTCCAGTAGCAATAGTTCTTTCTGTTGCTCTATAATACAACTATTATCTGTATTACCAAAGACTAATTTTGCATTCGAGTATGACGTTACATGGCAGAGAGTGTGCTCAATTCCCATTTTTGACAGTGTCTATGTTTCAGATAGGAATTATAAGTCTGATGATTGAACTCCTGACATTGCATGTGAAAAATGTACCTTTCAAGTTAAACACTAATTTGTGTGTGTGTGTTTTGTTCTCTTTGTTTTTACCCCTTATTTTAAGTTGATCTGTTATGTGTGAGGTTTTTTTTGTATGTTATTTTATCCTGGTAGGCCTTGGTAGTATCATTACAATATTTATTTATATCATTTTATTGTTAAGAACTCAAAGTTTGATTGTATAGGAAATATGCACAAACTTGTCCTATGGTAGAATACTATGGTGCTTCTCATAGTTCCACTCACTTTTGTACTACCAGAGCTTTCAGAGAAGAAGGTAGTGTGATTTCCCAACTTTTCTGGTAATTCTGTATCTATGGTCCATTGTCCAGTTTGTACCTTCATAATTCCATTCTAATGTGCTCTCTTTTAAACCAAGCGTTCAAACTAATCTGTTTTGAACTTGTCATGTTATTGTCAGCCATTATGATACTGTCAGATCATTCTTATTTGCACTTGTTGTGAATGCCTAAGCCAATTTATACCAAAGAGATTTAAGTGCGTTTTCATGAGAATATTGTTGTGTTCTACTGATAACCCTGCCAGTTTCAGTTACCGCCTTTAAAGTTTATTTATTGATTTACTTTACAATTATTTTGTGTGTTGTTTTTAGACCTGCAAGTAAGATAACATGGCAGCAGTATTATTTGTTTTGTTACTTTTTTTCTCCTCTTGGACTAAATTCATTGTCTCACAGTAATATATTCCTCCTTCCTCAAAGTGTTTGATTGTGTTTTGGAGGAATATATCTGGATGTGTACTGTTGTTTTGTTTAGAGTTGTGTTTAAATGTGTAGATAAACTGTAATGTGTAAGTAGAAATGTAGTGTAATGTTTTAGAGTTAAAGAGTTCACACCTTCAGGACTGCAGCCTGCTTCACAAGTACAGTGACCATAGTGATCTTGTGGTTTATTTTAAACTGCTACTGAGGTATTAATTTAAGTCTGTAACCCTTAAAATGTGGCAGATTCTGGAAAAGGCTTTTTTAAAAATACCAATACAAACCAAACTAATGTTTTAACCCCTTTTGCCATGATCGGCATGAAATGAAAGTTGTAAAACTAGTTGATCTCATACTAGATTTTAAGTGGTACTCTACCCAGTGTCAATCAAACAAAATCAACTACCATCTGTTGCTTTTTTTTCATCTGCCAGTTAGTGTGATGTTTACCTGTGACCCTTGATGCTGAATAGAATTGATTTATCCTGTGTATTGCTGATGTGTGGGAACAGTAGTTCTGGAATGAGAACCAATTGTATTATTACTATTCTGAGATCTGACAATTTCCAAACAACTTTTTATTTCCATATAATCAATTAAGTTTGATTTCTGTTAAAAAATACCGCTTAAAAAAAATTGTACAGTAGTGGAAGTAAAGGGATTTTTGTTTTGCTAACATGCTAATTATTTTTGTTCTTGTTTTGTTATATTGGAGTGCTCTGGTTTGAAGTTTGAGTGATGGTGATGGGAAGGTTTCGTATTAGTCTTCAAACTGTAATTTGACTATAAAATGTCTGCATTGTGCACATTTTTGTTTTTGAAGTGTACCAATATTTTGTTTGACAAATGGGACAACCCTGATTAGTTCCTCAGTGTTTGCAAATGGTACTCTTGATGACTTTTACTGTGTGTAACTTTGTTTTGAGGAAACTATAAGCTCTTCTTACTGGATAAGTATTGTTAAGAGTTATGTGCTTCTTGACTGTTGTGAATGATAGCTGTAAGTTTGATATTTAACATACTCGCCTTTCCCTCTTTTCTCACTACTTGTATTGTATGTTCTGCCCGGTTAAACAAATTGCTGTTTCCCTCAACCTTAATAATCACTTGTAATTGAAAAGTTACGCCATTATTTATTTATCCCCTCCCCTCTACTTTTATTTCAAAAACAGCAATTCTAATATTTTTGAACGCGATAGCGGTTAAAGGGTTAAACGCGGACGATTTGCGTGAAAGATGAATGGAAGTCGGGGATTGGAGCAGCGTCTCTGTAGGCCTGGGGCCCGGCCACCATACGGCCACTGGCACCAGACTGGCACACTGGCACCGCAGGGCGGCAGCAGCACAGCAGCAGGGATGGCACGGCCGGCATGGCCTCGCTCCGCGCATGCAGCAGTGTGAGTCGAGACGCGGGACGGGACGGCACGGCTCGGACGGGACGATACAACGGACGGCCAGGGATCTGCAGGCTCCGCAGCCATGGCGTGGGCCCCCGTGTGCGCAGCGGCGGTGCTCGTATCGCTGGCTCAGCTGGCCCTGCTGGGGGTGAGTGGGTGGTTGACTAGGCACCAAGCCCGGGTTCTGGGTTCGAATCCCCGCGGTGGCGCGGTTCGGATGCCAGTAAACTGCGTTAGCGCTCTTTCCCTTCTGGGGAAAGGAAGGGGGTGGCGTCGCCCTGGACTTCCCTTCGATAGCTGAGGTGTTTGCGTCCTTGGGTAGGCAGTGCAGTAGCAGGCAGTGGACGAGGCGATTCAAGGTCTCTCCTCTCAGTCCGTCCCTCGGCACTCGGCACGCCGCCGGTGGCCGATTCGCGCGGGCGTCATGGGGCCGCTTAATCGGTCGCGGGTCCGTCGACTGATTTGCCTGAGATGCACAATAACGGATCATGACTGACCGTATCTTCGGGCCGCGTCGTCGCGTCGCAGTTGCCGATCTGCTGACGGCCTGCGGACGGCATTGGCATGGCCGTCGAGCCTCGCTGTTTTCTCCGCTCCGGCCCTGGTGCCTGGCTGCACAGCGCGTCATGCGTCGCGCTCAACCCTATCAGACACTTAGCGTGATTCAGTCGGTGCATGCAGTGCACGCCTGCCTTGCCACTTATTGCCACTTCCCCATCCACGTTTTTATCGGCGGAGACAAAACAAACAGGGGTATTTTTAGCTGTCCTTCTTAGTCCTGTATCATAAAATGATTTGTAAATTAATACCGGGAAACCTAGAACAGGTCCTTTCCGACGAATGGTTGTGTGACCGCCTAGTCCTAGTCGAAGCCTCTCTGGCTGTCGGCCCAAATCTCAACTATGTACTCCTGCCATCTGATGCCACTTGCTCCGAGTGACCCAGAGACTGGCGCCCGGTCTCAATGAGTTCTCCAGGCAGGCCGCGGCCGCAGGGGTTACGCTGGTCAAGGATGGCTTCGTTTACTCAGGAGGCGCCGCGCCGCTGTGACCACAAAAAATAATGTGGTTTGTTTTCCCCGAGGGAAGTCCCATGTGCAAGCTGTGGACCGGGGGAGGTTCGGGTGGGCGCACTGCGAGGCTGAGGTGGGCAAGCCGCCCAGCTCGATCGTGCTGCTTGCTGCCTGTCGGCGGCCCCCGTCACCCACCGCCTCCCCCGTCACCCCGCCGCCGCCTAGACAGCGCGGCAGCGCGGTGTCCGTAGTCCGTGCCCCGGGCCTCGCGGGCAGACTTAGCGGCGCCTTTCCCAATCCCAATCCCTAAGCCGCTTCCCCTGGCCGTCGCCACACTCCGGGCAGCACAGGGCACCGCCCGGCACCGCCCCTAGGGCCTCTGCTCGAGTCCCGGCCCGGGTCCGAGGTTCGAGCACCGGCTCGCTGCCTTTTCTTTGTCTGCCTCGCGGGCCTCGCGACGTCGTCGCTCGCGGTGCGCGCTGGGATGCGCGGGACGCACCGGCACGGCGTAACCCGAGCCGCCGCCATCATGGTGGCCATCATGGTGGCCGTCGCGGCCGGTCATTAATATTCGCCGTTTCCGTTATCCTCGTCCAAGGCATGCCCAAGGGAGGGACAGGGACTGCCCGGACGGTGTGCACGCTGGGGGCCGCGTCGCCGCGTCGCGCTGGGCCTGCTGGGCCTTGCCGGGCTTGCCGGGCCACCCACCTCGACCGGGACACCGGGACCCGGACCCGTTGCTTCCGCGCCCGGCTCGCTCCCTCTCGCTCGCACACACTCTCTTACGCCCCCTCTCGCTCGCTCGCCGCCGCCCGCATTCGCACCGCACAGTTATTCGGGTGTGCGATGTGTCGCGTGCCGCCGCCCGCGCCTTTCGGGGGAAGGCCTCGGCCTCGGCGCCGAAGTCTCGTTCCAGTGCGGCCATTTTCAGCCCCTTGGCTCCCTTGGTGAATGAGGGCAGAGACTGGGTGGTCTCGGCCTTCCACGGCGCCGGCTTCTAGGCGGCGGTGCACTGGCCGCCTCAAAGCCTCCCTCTTGCTCAAACTAATGTGACTCATTGAGCAGGCGTACGACACGGCGGCACGGCGGCACGGCGGCAGCTAGGCCGAGTCAGTGAGTCAGTGAGCAAGACGGCATCTCCTCATTGCAAGCCAACCTGTCATCTGTTTGAATCAAGAGAGCGCAGCGCGGCGTGCCGCCGCCAATGCCGCGTCCGGGACGGCGCGACGCGGCGAACGACGAGCCGTGCCGTATCGCGCCTTCGAACCACTTCGAACCGAACGCACGCCGAGCCTGGCCGGAAAACAAGGAACAGAGCGGCCGGGAACGTACCACTCCTTCCACTTTACTGCACAGTGGCAACCATCATAAGCAAAATAAATATCCCGAAAAAAAAAAAATTCTCTAGGATGCTGACTAGTTCTCCTGTGGAGCCGGGCACTGCAGTCGCCCGCCCCGCCGCCTCACCCAAAGCGAACGCCCTTTCTCCCAAGTGTGGTGACCGAGGCGCCGAGGCCCCCTTGCGGCCCTTGCGGGCTGTGGACCGCAGACTCTTACACTGTTTGGTCGTTGCAGGTGCAGGCCAACGAGGCCGTCACGGCGCCGCCGCCGCCCATCGCGCCGCCACTGTAAGGACCGGCTGACACTAGTGACACAGTGCGGTGGCACCGGGGCCAGCGGGGCGCTCTGAACTCGGTTCTGCTTTGCAGGCGCCGGGGTCGGAGCTTCGAGATCAGCTACGAGCAGGACGCCTTCCTCAAGGACGGCCAGCCCTTCCAGATGCGGTCGGGCTCCCTGCACTACTTCCGCGTGCCGCGCGTCTACTGGCGGGACCGGCTGCGGAAGCTCAAGCGGGCGGGGCTCAACACCGTGGCCACGTGAGTGCAAGGGCGAGCCGGGCCGGGGTTGCACAGTGGGCCGGAAAACCGATAGAGTCGGCCAAAATCCAGGACGGGTCTTAAGCTCCAGAGTCGTTAAATTGGACGTGTGACCCCACCAATGGATTGCTCTCCGAAAGGGAAATCCATTGATGGGGTCACACGTTCTGTTCGAGTCCTGTTTAGCGACTCTGTAGCTCAAACCGCGCGTAGAATTTCGGCCGCCGGCGCCGGTCTTCTGGGTTGGCTAGAGAGACACCGACTGGTGACGACGCGGCGCTCGCTGGGTTTCAGGTACGTGGAGTGGAGCCTGCACGAGCCCACCCCCAACCAGTTCGACCTGGGCGGCGAGGCCAACCTGCTGCACTTCATCCAGCTGGCCGAGGAGGAGGGGCTGCTCGTGAACCTGCGCGTCGGCCCCTACATCTGCGCCGAGCGCGACATGGTGAGTCGGACGAGCACGTGCCGCCTGAATGGGGAGGGTTAGTGAATAGCGCCAACTACCAGCTTGGCTTGTCGCTAGGAGGGCACTGCTGGCAAAACATCACACGTACACGCACGCACTAACACACATGCGCACTCAGCCCTTTGAATGGCCGCGCGTGCCGGACATCGCGCTGTCACTTGTCACGCCGTCGCACTCCTGGCTGAATGATGATAATGCTTTCGTGTTGGCGACCGGCGCCTGCACTGCATGACGCTCTGCGCGACGACCTCCGTGACGCAATTTTTTATTCCTTTCGCAGGGCGGTCTTCCCCCGTGGCTGCTGTCCCTGAAGCCGGACATCAAGCTGCGCACGCGGGACCCTGGTAGGGAAAAACAAAACGCAGCGCCAAGATTGAGTCGGCAGCCTGGCGTCGCTATTTAGCCACTTTGGACAGGGGACAGCGAGAGTATGGACCTAACGACCTAACGCAGAGGTGTTGTTTTGCAGTGTTCATGCACTACACCAAGCGCTGGCTGGACGTGCTCATGCCGATGGTCAGGCCCCTGCTGTACGGGAACGGCGGGCCCATTATCTTGGTGCAGGCAAGTCGAGTCCCTGCGGGCCGCCCCATGAGTGGGACAGAGACGGAGCGACGGAACGGAACGACCCCGCGGAATCGCTGGGCCGGCCGGCCGCGCAATGCAGCGTCGCTTGGCCGGCCGAGGCGGCCAAGGCGCGCTCTACCCTCGCCTCTGTGCTGCAGGTGGAGAACGAGTACGGCAGCTACCCGGCGTGCGACCGGCCCTACCTCATCTGGCTGCGCGACCTGTTCCGCGGCCACGTCCACGACGCCGCCGTGCTGTATACGACCGACGGCGCGGGCGCGAGCTACCTCAACTGCGGCAAGATCCCCGGCGTGTACGCCACCGTGGACTTCGGCTCCTCCAGCGACCCCGCGGCCGCGTTCGCCACGCAGAGGAAGGTCCGTCCTGGTTCGACTCGCGTCGCGCGGTGTTTCCGGCACACGGTACCTGTACGCGCTAAAACACACTACCCTTCACCGCAGGTGGAGCCCCACGGGCCGCTGGTCAACTCGGAGTACTACACGGGCTGGCTGACGCACTGGGCGGAGAAGGAGCAGACCGTGGCGTCGGGCGACGTGCTCCGAGGCCTGCGCTGGATGATGGACAACAACGCCAGCTTCAACTTCTACGTCTTCATGGGCGGCACCAACTTCGGCTTCACGGCGGGCGCCAACTTCGGCAAGGACTACCAGCCGCAGCTCACGTCGTACGACTACGACGCGCCCCTGTCGGAGGCGGGCGACACCACCCACAAGTACCACGCCATCCGAGGCCTTATCCTGCAGGTGCGTTCGGGCGTCTGGAATCACCTAGTTGTCTCCTTCGCTTGGATTAATTTGACTGGATTCCGTTCTCCAGTACACGGGCGCGGACGCGAGCCCCATGCTGCGGGTGTCGCCCAAGCTGTCGTACGGACCCATCCTGCTGCAGCGCGTGGCTGACATCCAGGCGCTGGCCACGGGGCCGCCGACGACGGCCACCTACCCCCGCGACTTCGAGGAGCTCCGCCAGGCCTTCGGCTACATCCTGTACGAGACGCGCGTCCCCGCCGACTACACGCCCAAGAAGGACAACAAAGCCCTCTTCATGGCGCAGAAGATCAGGGACCGGGGTGTCGTGTTCGTGGACCAGGTCTGTGTGTCTGTGTGCGTGCGCGCTCGCGTTGCGCCAGGCAGGGTAGGCCACCCACCGTGCGCCCCAGCCGCGTTGGCGACCGGCAGCCCGGGCGGCGACTTTGACGAGCTGCCACGCCACGCGCCACGCGCTCGCCTCGGCGCTCGCCCTGCCTGGCCCAGCCCCTGAATGGCCGCCACCCAATGCTTTCCAGGGCCTGCGCAAGCCTTTGTGTGTAGCCCCGGGCCTACCCTCGCGCCGAGCGAGCGAAGGTGCGAAGCCAGTGCGAAGCGTGCGGAGGCCCGGGTGTTTCCATGGCAGCCGAGGTGCCATTGCTGGCGTTTGCCGGCCACGCCGGCCACCCTGCCCGGTGCCCGTACCGCCCGTACGCCGGCATGAGGGCCAAGAGGGCTGGGGGGTGAGTCCGGGAGTCCACGCGTCCACGCGCCCAGGTTCGCCGCACGCCGCGCCCATTCAAAAGGCCCTTTTGACGTCCGATGGGCAGGGCGGGCACGGCGGGCAGCGGCCGGTGGCGTAATCGAAGGCGGGTGTAATCGGCGTGCTAACGTGCTGCCCCCCATCGACCGCCGCGACGGACGCGACGGTCGCGACCCCCGGGGCCCCGGTCGCACGCAGTCCCTCGGGGGACCGAGGGACAATTACACAATTACTCTTCCCATTACGCCATCACCTTTCAGAACTTCCTCTGACAGCGGCTTTGAGGCCCGGCACGCCTCCTTGAGAACGGCACGCCTATCCGAGCCACCCTCGGTCCGCAAGACCGAGGACGGCGATGAACGCCATGTCATCGATTTTTATCAAATTTGCTGCTATTCGTTAGCGAGCAGCCCTTTTCTCGAGGGGCGTCGTTCCTCTTCGTTCCGGTGCCATTTGTTGCTCACCCGGCCTTTCGCTTCGCCTCCGCAGGCCCGGCGCGGCGTGCTGTGCCGCACCAAGCCGCAGCGTTCCGGGCTGTCGCTGTCCGGGGTGCAGGCGGGCCAGCGGCTGTCCGTGCTGGTGGAGAACCAGGGCCGCATCAACTACGGCGGCCGCCTCAACGACACCAAGGGCCTGGGCAACGTGACTCTGGACGGCCGCGTTCTCCGCGGCTGGACCATGACGCAGCTGCCGCTCAACAACCAGACCAAGATCGACGCCTTGGCGCGCCGGGCCGCGCGTCGCGTGGAGCGCCGCCTGAACGCGGCCGCCAACGCCAACGCCAGCGCCAACGCCGCGCCCCGCGACCCCAAGCAGGACGTCCCCGGCGTGTACCTGGGCCGCTTCGTGCTGCCGCCCGAGTACGCGTTCCCCAGCAGGGAGCGCCTCGAGGAGCACGACGGCCAGCCGCCCCTGCCGGACACCTTCCTGGACACGAGCGGCTGGGGCAAGGTACTGTACACAATTAGTCCCTGCTTCCTCGTGCAGGCCGATGCACTGACCGTCTGTCCCTTCGTTCCTTTTCAGGGCGTGGTGTTCGTCAACGGCTTCAACCTGGGCCGCTACTGGCCGTCCGTGGGGCCGCAAGTGACGCTGTACGTGCCGGGCCACCTGCTGCACCCGCCGCCCACGCAGAACACGCTGCTCGTGGTGGAGACGGACCGCGCCCCCGAGATCCCCTACCTCAACCTGGTGGACCGGCCCACGCTCAACGGGGCGGTGTGCGGCACGGGGCCGGGCGGTGCCGCCACCGCGCCGGCGGGGGCGCCGACGATCGCCGTGTCCAGGGTGTCCTGCTGCTGACGGCGTCAAGAAGACCATGGCCTCCAAGGTGAAGACGGCTTCCCCCGAGGAGCACCGGCCAACGACCGCCGCGCCGCCCGAGGCTGGGACGTCGTCCGACGGTCCAGAACCTCAACCGCCACCACCGGCCGGCCCGGCCGCGGCGGAGAAGAAGAAGTTCCAGTCGCGGTTCCGCACCCGGCCGCGGTGGACGTGGTGCGACGTGCGGCGGCGCGAGGAGGACCAGAAGGAGCGGCCGCAGCGGCACGAGCATCTCGCCGTCGCCGCTCGCGGCCCCGTCCTCGCTCAGGGCTTGAGGTCAGGCGTGGCCCTGGGTTCGAATCTCGCGCCCGGCGTGGACTTTTTACTTTAAGCCGCGATGACGGGCACGTCGCAGGTTCGCCGGCAGCGGACCGCGGCGCAATGCGGTGGCGCACGTTGGCGGCTTCCACTGGTGGCCCGCGGGGCAGCACCTCCGCGGCACCGTCCCCGCCCTGGTCCCCGGGGCCGTCATGCTGCCCGCGAGGCCCGCCCCCTCCTGCCGGCCGTCGGCGCGCCCCGCCGGCCTGGAGTCCTGCCTGCCGGGGATGGGCCCCGGCGGCCGCTACTCTGGGGCCAGGATCCGGCCGCTCTGCAGCCTACAGCGGCCCGCCGGCATGCCGAGCTGCCGCCCCCCGCGCACGCGGACGCGCCCCCCTGGCACGGGGGCGCCGTTGACGGGGTCGCTGGGCGCGGGGGCCGGCAAGCTGGTGGTGGACCACGGCGCCTGCGCGCCGCGACAGCGCCTGGCGGACCGTCGCATGATGCAGCCGACGCGGCCCCCCTTCGTACCCGCCGGCATCCTGCACCGGCGCGGGCTCGGCGGGCTGGGCGTGCTGCCGGACTTCGACATGTTCTACGGGCGGCCACGCACCTCGCCCGCCGCCGCCACCAGGCCCTGCCCGCCGCACGGCCTCGTGTACCAGCCCAGGCAGGGCGTGGACGCGCCGATGGGGCCCCCGAAGCGCCCCCAGTCCGCGGTGGCGTTCTTCTTGCCCCTCTAACTCCCACCCGCCATCCCATCCTATCCGTCCGACGACCCACGCCGTCGACAGCAGCCCAGCAGCCCTGACTCTCATGTGATATGCGCAACGTGTGATAGCGTCACTACGTCCTACTCTGTTTTTCTGTTTGTTGTGAAATAAAATTCACCGTTATTTATTTTGACATTTGCGCGGCGTTTTCTTTGGAAACCCTCAACGCCTCGTCGACGCCCCGACAGCTTGACAGTGCCTCACGCGCCGCCATTCTTCAGTTAGCGGAGACGCCCCTCTTGGGCTCTAGGGCGTTCCGCTCTTTGAGCACTCCGTCCGATGAGAATCCTATCGACCTGCTGCGGGGCTGAAGCAGGCCGAGGCAGGCAGAGGTGTTGCGCGCCGGCCGGCTCGCCAGGCGGCTAGTCCAGCGGCGGACGCGCACCCCGTCATACCGGACCCCTTGACGCCCAGCCGCGTCTACAGGCGCCACTCTCCAGCGACACCATGGTGGTGAAGGAAGCGCCCGTGTTCTTCGTGCGGCCGCAGTCGTCGCCGATGCGCTCGGCCAAGGGCCGCGTGCCCGAGATCCCCGACCTGGACGGCGACGCCACGCCCATCATGCTGCGCGTCGCCATGCCCTTCATCGCCGTGTCCGCGATGCTGGGCATGGCGCCCGTCCAGAGCAGCAGCGGCAGCAGCGCCACGCCCAGCCTGGCGACGGAGAAGACGGAGAAGGCGGCCACCTTCGGCATCCGCAAGAAGCACATCCTCTCCAGGAGCGTCTGGCTCGAGATCTACTCCCTCGCCGTCCTGGCCGGCGTCTCCTTCTCCAGCTACCTGGTGTTCAAGGCGTCGGGGGACGACTCCATCAAGCTCAACAAGCTCGCCAACGTGCTCATCTACGCCTCGGGCCTGCTCACGGTGAGCCGCGGGGCCGGGGAGTCGGGAGTCCGCCGGGTGCGATGGGTTGCCTATCCCCCGCTCGGCGGGCGCTAGCAACTCTCAAATCAGTCCACACGCACACAACACCGCGCAAACTCGTCGAAAATCGTCTACAGAATAAAACCAAAATCACAACACCGCCTCATTGGCTAGATCCTGCGACGCGAGGTGCTTCGAAAGCCGCCCCCGTTTTGTTTCCCCGCGCGGGGCAGCAGTGCGGAACGCACCCTCACACACTCCACGCGCTGTGACGCGCCGTGACGCGCCGCGGTACTTCGTTTCGTGACGTCTCGTGACGCCTCGTGACGCCTCGTGACCACGGGCCGTCAACGTCAAGGGCCCCGTCGGCGGGGTGGGTCGATTCTGCACCCGCAGGCGGCGGCGTTGGCGACCGTGCCAAATAGAGCCAAGCGCACAAACACGCACATGAAAGAGAGGGAAACAATGACAACACAACGAGGTCTGTCAGCAGGTTTCGCGCCGAGTTTGAATTTCACCCTCATGACGCCCCCGAGGATGGAATGTTGTTTCGAGTGGCGCGGACGCCGAGTCAATGAGCGTGTGTTGGCAGGCCACGGTGGCGGTGCTGGTGCAGCTGGCCACCCTGTGGTCCACGCGCGCCGCCATCGACAGCCTGGAGGGGCTGCTGGACTGCGAGGAGGAGACGCAGACCATGACGCCGTCCCGCACCCGCAACGCGCGCATCTGGATCGTCGTGCAGGTCCTCGTCCCGGCCGCCCCGCCCCGGCCCAGTACACTGGCAAGGGTTCTCAGCCTTGGGACCGCGAAAAAGTATTTTAGTGTCGCCAGATTTTCTCTGTGGCGTCGCAAACCGCGGAAAGGTTGAGAACCGCTGCTCTAGATCCGGCCTGCTCGCGCCGTGTAACGCCGTGTAACGCCGTGTAACGCCGTGTCCGCTTGCAGCTGCTGCTGTGGGCGTCCGTGTCCGTGGCCTTCGCCGTCTTCCACTTCTGCTTCGAGGAGCCCAGCTCCGAGATGGCCATCTCCTTCTGCTTCCGCGCGTACGCGGTGTCGCGCCCCTTCCTGCACCTGTCGTGCATGCAGTTCGCCAACCAGGCGCACGCGCTGTCGCTGCAGGTGCGTGCACTGGAGGGGCCCTCGTCGTCGCCGAGGTGTCCGCGGGCCTGAACGAGCTCCTTTGCCGCAGCTGGTGTCCGCCAACGAGCGCCTGCTGACCATGCTGGGCCCCGTCTCCGCCGGGCTGACGCCGCAGACCCTGGAGATGTGGAGCCGACTGGGCGACGCGGCCAACCCGCTGCGCCAGCCGCCCCTGCACCCCGACGTGGAGGCCGCCTCGCTGGAGACGGTGCGCGAGCTGCGCCTGCTGCACCACAAGATGCACGTCATCAGCGGCTACCTGCAGTCGGCGTACGGCCCCCAGATGCTGCTCGTGCTGCTCAGCACGCTGCTCGACTACACCACCATGCTGTACATCCTGCTGGCGCGCATCTCGGTGGACGTGGCGGGCCTGCTCATCGGCACCATCCACGTCCTCGTCATGTACCTGGTGCTCACGTCGGGCAACATGGTGCGCCAGGAGGCCCAGCGCATGGGCGAGGTGAGTACACCGCGGACTGCGTTACGATTTATGGACGCCCCGGGCCCCGGCCCCGGGCATCGAGGGAATCGGGATTCCGTTTGCGGACTCATTTTTACGAAAGGGCATGCCCACGTCGAAGTTGCGTCGAGTCAAAGGTCACTGGCGCTGGCGAAAGGAAAAACCTCGCTGGTATTTGAACCTGCTACCTTGCAGTCTTGCGCCTCGTTGCCGACAGATCCTGCAGCGGGGCCTGGTGCACCGGCGGCTGAGCGAGCGCCTGGTCGAGGAGCTGCAGGACTTCTCGCTGCAGCTGGTGCGCCTGCCCACGCGCCTGTCCGCGTGCGGCCTCATGTACCTCGACTACAGCATGATCCAGGGCGCCGTGGGCACCGTCACCACCTACCTCGTCATCATGCTGCAGTTCCCCGGCAGCGGCAGCAACCGCGCCAAGCCCAACACCACCATGGCCAGCGAGGGCTAGGGTAGACTCACCTGGGCGGAGGCCACACGCCTCGCCGTGGTGCCGGGTATTTACCGAGCTGTTCAGCCCCCCTTTTTTCCCTCGGGCGGCAGTTCGCAGGAGATACTCCGTGTCGAGGGGACGGACATGGAGTGGGGTATATCAGTAGACACTGAGATAGGCTTGGGCCGGATTGTGGGGGGCCCAGGTGTCGCATCGCGGGGTGGTACCTGCTGCGGGTACAGGCGTGTGCTAAACGGGAAGGTATGGGGGGGGGGTAGGAACCCCTTTTGTCGCTAGCGTCTGGAAGGTACGTAAATTGCAACACATTCCGCCTAAAAGTAGGCAAACATCAAGGCCTCCCTTGAAAAAAAAAAAACCTTTTGCGCACGCCACAGTGGGGGTATTGGACTGAGGAAAAAGGGTATAAATTACAAAAAGATTTATTTTTAACGTTGTTTTACACCTCTCGGAGGTGGTCTTATAAATTACAGGCTTGGCGTCACACTTGAGGAGTCTATTACACTGGCACACATTTGCACATGCTACTCACTCACTCATTCACTCTCTCTCTATCTCTCTCTCTCTCTCTCTCTCTCTCTCTCTCTCTCTCTCACACACACACACACACACGCGCGCACGCACTCTAACACTCATTTAGGTAAAAGAGACTCACTCGTGACAAACAGAATATGTTTTTCTTGTCACTGCTCACTTGCATTTTCGCTTATGGCTTTTATATATTTTAATTTGCTCCCGAGGCTACTAGAATGGCTATTTCACTTGTATGGCGTTTATGGCTTTCAGTCACAGAGTTCTGTGCAGTTTTAAATCTATGTACCCACTAGTTAGATAGTATGTAAGACTATAGTTTTTAAAGCTTTTTGCCGCACAAGACTGTCTGATAAAGTGACAGTTGTACTCATCCCTCCCGCGCATTTTGGGCGCATGCATAAAACCCATGAGTGAGCGTATTTTTCAGGCTTTCTGCTTGCAAGAGCGCAGTTTGGCGCCTTGAGCAAAAAAAGGGACTAAACGAAACTAAATTATAAAAAACAAACTGTAGAAAAACAATAATAATGATGAAAACTGAGGCGTTTGGCGGTGAACTGGGTGGGTTCCTCCACGACCTGTCGGGCTGGTAGTCGCCTGAGGCCGCGACGCCGCGACGCCGCCGTGTCGTCAGTTCACCAAATTGGACGTGTCAGCTTTTGCAACGCTGGCCGGCGGCGGTCGCTCGAGGCGCGGGGTTTTGCAAAGGGAATATATTAAAAAGGAGTGGTACAGGCTGGGCGGGAGAGTTGGGCAGCCGGTATGCAGTCGTGGCGGAGACGGGTACCGCCGAGGGGATGTTGTTGTTGTCGTTGTTGTTGTGGATGAAGATGTCGCTCCTGCGATGGCAGCGACGCGATCTAGTACCCCAGTTTCCTCAGAGCTTTCAGATCCAGCTTTCCGTAGTAGTCCTCGCTGCGGGGGAACAAGAAAACCAGGACTGAGTATAAAGTGCGTGTCTCGATGTGACGCACGGCTGGTTTCAGAAAGAAACTAGATTCACAGGGAGGGGTCGTCGCGGTGTCCGTCCCGTCGCGTCCCGTCAGCCTTGCAGTGCGCCAGAGGCGTCCTTCCGGCGGGGCGAAACCCACCATGTTGTCCTTCGGGAAACATTGCCGTCGCAGGTTTCAAAGGTTCCTGATCGTCTATTTCCTGTCCACGAATTCGTCTGTGATCATGTCCGTGGACTACTGTAATTTAGACATACTGACTTATCTCACGACAAATTATAGATGTAATTGTGTCTGCCTTGTTTGATGTATTTTGTGATTGTGGTTGTTATCGTTATTATAGTCCTGTAAATGCGTCGAAGTCGATTTCAATAAATGTCGTGTCTTTTTAACGCTGAGCTCTGCCTTGAAGACCTTCCCCGCAAAGTATTTGCAAACAGCATGGAGGAAAAGATATCGTGCAGCGTGCATAGAGCAGCATTAACAACAAAAAAGTCTGTACAGCTGTATGTTCAAGTTTACAGCCCAACGCCATGCAACGGAAAGGAAGAAGTAAAAAGTTTCTTTTTAAAAAGAAGGAATCACACAGATATATATTTCATTTTCAGCATGACAATAACAAAAAAGGGGATGGGGGAAACACGGCGCAACACATACAACATCAACAAATCTGAGTGAACCTCGTCCGCGGACAATTTTTTGGGCTTTTCTCTCATTTTATTATAAACGTTCAGTTTGTACGGGTTGGTCATTAAATTAGCGCCACTGGTCGCTGACATGCCCAGCGGCGTTCGGGGCGGCCCGGTAGGGTCGCACCCATCACAGGTACTCTCGCGCGGGCATCCCGGCCCGGCTCGGCGCCGCCTGCCGCGGCATGGCTCGGCTGGCCCCGCTCGGCTCGGCTCGGCACAGCCCTGGGGCTGCCAGAGGCTGCCAGAGGCTGCCAGCCTGGGGCTCAGCCCGACTCGGCACGGCCGGCCAACTCTCTCAACGGTCACACATACACACATTCACACACACGCACACACACTGAAGCACATGGCGGCACACTGAGTCCTCGCATCACACGACGCTGTCTCGGTCCCACTGGGTCGGGGCTCTCTCTTTCTCACTCCCTCTATTCGGAGTCGTCGAAGCCCTGGCCGGGCTGGGCGGTGGCGGGCCTGGACTGGGGCGCGGGCCTGGCGGGGGCGGCGGGCCTGGGCTTGGCGGCGGCGGCCTTGGGGGCGGGGGCGGGCTGGTTGGCGTTGGCGCGGCTCTGGCCGGCGCCCTGCAGGCCCTGCAGCAGCTCGCTCTTGCGGATCGTCTTCAGGTCCAGGTCGCCGTAGTAGTCCTCGCTGTGGGGCACGACAGAGTTGGTTGCAACAAGCTGTCTCCAGAAATGGCATGCTTTGCACACAGACACCTCGGAATCGAAATCGCTCCCGCCACACACTGCCGGCTTGGAAGTGATGTCGGGATGAGCAACGGTCGCTACGGCCGGACGCGGGGGAGCGTGTGCCGGACGCGATGACGCGTTAACGGCAGTGGCCCTCAGTGCCTTCACTGCCAACCGGGGACAGCACGGCGCCAACCAGTAATCGGACTTGGCGCGAATCAAGGCGGAATCGAAAGAACACGAAGAGGGGGTGGGTGGGGGAGCCTGGACTGGCAAGAAGTACGGAAGTACGAAAACACGGAAAGGTATTATTGAAGCGTCCCATGCAGCCCTGCACATGCGCAAAGACTTCCAGACGAGCCGGAGGGACTGGGAACAGCGTCTAAGGCTTCCTGTCCCGAAAAAACAAGAACGACAAAACATGTTGCGTCTGCAGCAACAGTGGAGGCAAAAAGGGTCAAGGCGAGAAACAAGCCGACATGCAGGCGTTGGCAGATCCCGGTTTTCTCGTCAACAATGATTAGGTAACAAATATACAATTCGAGTGTCTTTTTAAGGAGGGAAGTTGTTCACATTGAATTGATGGTCCAAAGTAACGTAAGTGAGTAAAAAAAGGACGAAATTGTCTTTGTTAGTGATCCGGGTCCATTCGAGCGTGCACTGCTACCGCAGTGGTGGCGTTATCTCAACTTTCTAATCAGTGGCGACCCAGTGCCACCCCGGCGCGGCGCCACCCAGTGGCGTGGCGTGCCAGGCATGGCAGGCATGGCCCTGGGCCGCGCCGAGCCGCGGGCGTCACGGGCATTGGAGGCACGCCGCTGCTCTGGTCCGCTCAATGGAAAGCACGATTGTTGTCATCGCGGTTACATGGCCGCCCTGCGCGCCACATTGCGTCACCAGGACACCGGGGGCCACCGCGACCACCAGGGCCACCGGGACACCCTCCCGGCTCGCCAGGGGTGCGCAGTGTGGGCATGGCCGTCGTCAGTGTCGCTGTCAGTCACTCCCTAAGAAAGGGGCGGTCTTCAACTCACCAGCCGGGAACGTCCTCGGGGTCTTCGCACACGCCGGAGCCCTCGGAGTCGCCGATCTTGAAGACGGTGCCGATGGGGCAGCCGTACTCGCGGGCGACGCCCTCCATGCAGATGTAGTACTTGCGGCAGTCCTCGGGGTGCGCGTGGCGGGAGAAGGAACCGCCGGCGCCGGCGATCTCACCGGGAGCGGGGCAGGCGAAGCCGTTGGCGACCTCTGCGGGGCGGGGCATGGCGGAGCATGGCGTCAGTACGGCCGGCGGAGGGAAGTCAAGGCGCAGCGAGCGCCTGCGCGACGGCGGGTAGGCAGGCCCGCTCAACACGCCGGTGCAGCGGGACGGCCCACCCGCACCGCGGCAGGCGCTCTGAAACCGGCACTCACCTTCGTTCTTGCACTCGGGGACCTTGTCGGCCCACATGCAGACTCGCGCCTCCCTGTCGTACGCCAGGCCGGGGGAGCACTGGTACCTGGAGGCCTCGCCGTTCCAGCAGTTCCAGAAGGTGTCGCACTTCTTCTCGTCGGCGAAGATGCCGTACAGGCGCGGGCAGTGAGGGGTGCCGATGGCGGGCTCTGCAGGGGGAACCAACGTTTACAATCCAAACATCCCCGACACGAGTGTGGGTTCTTGAGACGAGTATTTTTGTTGTCTTGGGTGACTCACCGAGCTGAGAGCGGTCTCCGCAGTCGACGTTGTGGAGGTAGTCGCAGTTCTCAGTGAGGAACTTGTCGTCGCTGGCGTCGAAGGCCAGTCCGTTGCCGCAAGTTTTGAGTTCCGCTACGCCGTTGTCGCACTTCCAGTACTTGTCGCACGACACGCCGTGGGGGTAGAAGCCGTAGTCGTCCGGGCATTTGAAGCTCTCCTGCCCCAGCGCTGCGGGAAGACAAAGACAGTCAGGCACGGCGAGTTCCGACAGTTTTTACAAAAAGGCAGCCAGCCAGCCAGCGAGTGCGACAAGGAGAGACATCGAGCCTCTTTTTCCCCTACGCCCCAATCGCGTAACAGAGTCAACAGAGTGCACCGAGTCGGCCTGGCCTATCGATGGCAGCGCGCTCTGGAGCTCTGGACGGCTATAAATGGAAACAACGAGTGCGGCGGTGGCGGTGGCTTCGCCGGACTTTGCAGCCACCGCCGCCACTTTCACCAGCACCCGCCACAGCCTGCTTCGCGCTTCGCCCGGCGTGCGGGTCTCCGAGTCGCCGTCGCCGACATGAAGCGTGTCACGGTGAACGGCCGGCCATCCTCCGATTGAACCGAACGCGCGGCCACCGCCGCCACCGGCCGCCCAGCCAGGCGGTCGTCAAACCGTGCGGTGCGGCTCGAAGAGGACTCGGACTCGACCCGCGGCTTTTGCGCAACCCCACTCCTAAACGGCAGCGGGCAGCGCCGTGGCGGGGCGGGGCCGCGGGGCCGCGGGGCCGCGCCGTGGCGGTGCAGCGAGACCGGACTACACACGTCGCAGTCGCCGTCAGGCCGCCGGGCCGTCAGTCCGCGGATCGGCTTGACGAAATCCCCTTTTCGGCGGGGAGGGGCGGCTCTGGGCTTTGGCAGTGTGGGCGCCCAGGAACTGGCGCACCGCGCGGCACCGCGTCTCAGCATGGCAGTGTAGTGCTTGCGGCGCCCCAGCCCCAGCCCCAGCCCCAGCAGGGCGTGCCTCTGGGCGTGCCTCTAGGCGTGCCGGGCGCGGCGGGCGGCTTCCTGCTCCAGCGACTCGCTAGCAGCGCTAGCTAGGTAGCGCCGCTGTCCCCAAATCGGCGGCACGGCGAGGCGGGGCGCGGCGCGGAGACGCGGGGTGACGAAACCGGCGCGATTCGGCACGACGTCAGTGCCATTGTGGATCCTCGCCGCGGGCACGGCGGCACGGCGGCACGGCGGCACGGTGGCACGGCAACACGCGGCCGAAGTGAGGTGCAGGACTATGCACTCTCTCGCTCTCCTCCGGAGCCCCATCCAGTTAGTGCGGCGCGGCGGCGTGCCGATTTGGGCACGGAGGCGGCGGCGCCTCGCTCTGCGCCGAGCTGCGCGCCGCGTGTTGCCGCGCGGCCGGCACGCGACGTTTCGTCACGCCACCCACCGCCTTGTCGCGACAAGCCGCGCCCCGCTACGACGAGCCGCGCCGAGCCGCGCCAAGCCCAAGCAAGCCACACGCGAGAAGGCGGTGCGCGGGCCGTTGTGCAAGGCGTGTTTGTTATTCGTGCAAGGCGTTGGTTGATCCAGGCGGCGCGGTGCGGCGCCCTCTATGACAGCCGGAGACGCGACCCATTTCTCGACACGCTTCGCTTCGCAGCGCTTCGCCGCGATCCGCGATGCAGCGAGCGCGGCTTGGCGCGGCCCGGGTCCTGGACGTCCTGGATGTCGACACGCTTCCTGCGCCCCGAGCGCCGCGCCGCTACGCCCCGGGCCGAGGCGCGCTGCGATGGCTGGGATGGGATGAGCCTCGATGAGATGCAAACACGCCGATAAGGCTTTCGAAACGGCCCGGCCGACGCCCCGCCGACGCCCCGATGCCGAGGATGAGGAAGGCGGCGTGCGTCGCCTGGACTCGAAACGCGCACCGCGCGCACCCCACCAGCGTTTCCACAATAACTTGAGCAGGAGCACGCACACGCGAGATGCTCATTTGAAAAAAAGGCGGTCCACTCTCCGAGAAGAGCAACCGGTTTTCTGACCTAAAAACGAAGCGTGGCCGACCTCCTCGCGGGGCGGGGCGGGGCGGGGTGTGACGTGTGTGTGCACATATTTGCCCCACCCCACCCCACCCCCACCCCGCGCAACCATCGATAATTGTTCGGCAGGCTCCGATTCGGTGGGGCTGTGCATGTGGCCGAGATGCACCCAGGCGGCCTGGCGGCGAGGTGCGGCGCGGCTACTGTACGTCCACGCCCCTCGGCGCGCCTCGCCGCCTGGCCGTCGCGGTGCAGTGCAGGTCCCAGCCTTGAGGCAGGTCAGTTCCCCCGGGGCTCACACGACTCGGGCGCCAGGCCCCTGCAGGCACTTTCCGAACACTGCTTCTCTCTCGCACTCATGGGGCGTCCCGTAGGGCGGAGAGACAGAGGAACGAGCGCACCGTTTGGAATCAGACTGCAGGTCTGTGACGGACGTGCAAGGTGCACCTTGCGTTCCGCTGTCCCACGCAGTCCCGCGGCGGCTCTGGTGGCACTGGACCGCCCTGGCCACGTCGGCCACGTCACACCGTCTCTGTCGCACTTGGGTCGTCGCGCGGGGTGGGACGGGGTGGGAGGGAGACAGAGCGACGAGGGCACTGCTCGTAATCGAGCTGCTGACCCGGACAAGGTCCCGCGAAAAGTGTGGCACCGCGCCTCGCCTCGCGCCGCGGCTGGCTGCACTGGGCCACTGCTGGGCACTGCACTGCTCGACACGGCGCGGCCGCCGGTGACGAAATCGCCGTTACGAGCGCCTCGAATTGAACATGCGATGAACTCCAAGACTCGAACCATCAAAGGCACGGCCGCCCGCATTCCGACAGCGCTGAACCTCGCCGCCAGAGCCAGGACTCCAGGAGCCAGCTGCCACATGGCGACACCGCTCCCACACCCTCCGCGCCGTCGCCGCCACCGCCGCCGCCACCTCGCGCGCGAACAACGGGGAAGGAAACGCAACCGCCAGTCACGAAAAAAAATAATATAAAAACAAAGATAAATACGAGGCGACACTCGCCAAAGTGGCCAACGCCACATGCGTAACGTGTAAACGTTGTGGGCCGCGCGCCAGACACTATTACGTGAGGAATGGCTCGGCTTGCTGCACGGCGCGCGGCCGCGCCGCCGGGCCGCCACGCCGACACTGCGATTGTGTGGCCAGCGACGCCAACGACGCCAACGACGACCGGGACCGAGGACCGGCACGCCGAGGACCGGGACCGGGCGGCCCGCACACGCCCCAAACTGAGAGTACAGTGAGACAAGTAACAAAAGCGTGACAACCACAGGGGCGGGGCGGGGCGGGGCGGCTTGAGGTCGTAGCAGTGTTGCGCAACGCCGGACCGGGAAGTGCCGCGCGGACCGCCGTTCAACAGCCGGACAGACCCCCCCCCCCCGTCCACCCCCGGCCCAACACACGCCCATCAGACGCGAGCACGGCGTGCGAACGATACACAACCTTTCAAAATTAGGCCAATCGGTCCGACGGGGACACGCACACACACACACGCACACACACGCACACACAAGGGCCGAGGAAAGTGAGAGCAATGACTCAGCGTGAGCCCGGCGTCGGAGGTGAATACAGGACCCGACTGCTCCAGATGAGAATGGGATTAAACGGTGACGTCTAGTCCCCTCCCTCCTCCTCCCCCCTCCAACGGTCTCCTCGGGGTGCGTGTTACGCAACTTGACCTTACAGCGTGCAGCCCGCACCTTCGGCTTGCCTTGGGTTTGCGCGCCGCGGGTTCCGAGGGGTCGCGCTAGTGGGCCTCGCGAGGCGTCCGAACGGGACCTGGTTCCCGCGCCTCCCGCGCCTTCCTCTCGATGCGACTCGGCTCGCGCGCGGCTCCGTGATCGATCCGCCTTGATACTGCGCGCTTTAATTTTGCCGCTCCTGGGACGGTCACTCTCGGTAATGTACGGGCGAGCCTCTCGACGAAGCCCGCCTCTCTGGTCGACCTCTCGAGTAAGACAGCTGCTCTAATCGATCTCTCGACAAAGCCCTACCACACCGATGAACATGCAAATAAATCCCACTCCTCTAATCGATATCTCGATGAGACCTGCCGCTCCGATCGAACTGTCGACACGCCTGAACGCCCCAGACGGCTCGCCGGCCCGCACCGCCCACAACGCCCACACCGCCCACACCGCCCACACCGCCCGCACCGCCCACACCGCCCACACCGCCCACACCGCCCGCACTCAGCTCGTTGACCCGGCTCGGCGACGGCGTGGCGGCGTGGCGGTGTGGCGGTGCACCGTCGTGACTCGATTGGGCCTCGGGGACCGAGTCGGGAACGGGCCGCGAGGACCAGGCCGCCAGGACCCGGAAGACAAACCAACATGACGAAATGTTCTCGCGGCGTGCTATACCGTGGTGGGGTGGGGCGGTGCGGGGCGTGTACACCCTTGCAGGACGGCCCCCGGGCAATGTGTCTCCGCCCCGCCCCGCCCCGCCCCGACACGCCACGCCCCACCCGCAGCGCCCGCCCCGCCGCACTGAACCGGTTACATAACCTCCAGATTCACTTTCTACTGAGAATGCGGAGGCGCCCAGCCAGGACTCGGGACTGGCGGCCCAGGAGGTGCGGAGCAGCAAGGAGCAAGGCCGGTGCACATCACCTCATGACCGCATCCGGCCAGGACCGCGTCCGGACTCAGCATTAGGGGGACTGCATTTCTCACGACGCTCGCCAGGCTCGCCAGCCCAGACGCTGGACCACGCTGCGCCGCGCTGTCAGCATGGAACAGCCACCGCGGAAACGAAAAGGGAGCCAAACAAGCTCGCCGTCGTAGCTCCGCTAGCGGAGGACTTGGAGGGCGCCCAGCTGGCAGCCGCCAGGCAGCCGCAGCCCGCAGGAAGTTTCCGCGTGGCGACTTCCAGATGCAAGTGGTGCATCTATTGCAGCAGCCGATGCAACATGGCCAACCGACCTAGCCCAACCGAGCGAGTTGCCTCAGAGGTTATGGGAGCGTGCGAGCGAGTGCGCAAGGGGCGTTCCAAGTTCCAACGGCGTCTCTTTTGTCCTTGGCACCAGGCCGTCGACGACTTGGCACGTACGTGGCGATGGACCGCCAGGGGGGCGGCAGGGGCGGGGAGGCGAGCCGTCGGGGGCCACCCGCGGACTTTCTGGCCAGTTTCTTGGGAAACCGTGCGAGCGCATCCAGCGGACCCAGTCCAGTCCAGTCCAGTCCGGCGGCGGGGCGGACTCTCGGACTGCGACATCACTGCTTTAAATTCGGCTCACGCGTCGCGTCTCGGCGCTTCTCGGCGCGTCTCGCCGCCGCGTTGCGTCGTCTGCGTCGTCTGGCTAGCTGACTCACTTTCAACACGCGTGTCTGCGGTCGCGAGGGTCGCTGCCTCACCGCCTCGCGTCGCCCGGCGTCGCGACGCGTCGCGCTGCGCCGTCTGGCTAGCTGACTCACTTTCAACACGCGTGTCTGCGGTCGCGAGGGTCGCTGCCTCACCGCCTCGCGTCGCCCGGCGTCGCGACGCGTCGCGCTGCGCCGTCTGGCTAGCTGACTCACTTTCAACACGCGTGTCTGCGGTCGCGAGGGTCGCTGCCTCACCGCCTCGCGTCGCCCGGCGTCGCGACGCGTCGCGCTGCGCCGTCTGGCTAGCTGACTCACTTTCAACACGCGTGTCTGCGGTCGCGAGGGTCGCTGCCTCACCGCCTCGCGTCGCCCGGCGTCGCGACGCGTCGCGCTGCGCCGTCTGGCTAGCTGACTCACTTTCAACACGCGTGTCTGCGGTCGCGAGGGTCGCTGCCTCACCGCCTCGCGTCGCCCGGCGTCGCGACGCGTCGCGCTGCGCCGTCTGGCTAGCTGACTCACTTTCAACACGCGTGTCTGCGGTCGCGAGGGTCGCTGCCTCACCGCCTCGCGTCGCCCGGCGTCGCGACGCGTCGCGCTGCGCCGTCTGGCTAGCTGACTCACTTTCAACACGCGTGTCTGCGGTCGCGAGGGTCGCTGCCTCACCGCCTCGCGTCGCCCGGCGTCGCGACGCGTCGCGCTGCGCCGTCTGGCTAGCTGACTCACTTTCAACACGCGTGTCTGCGGTCGCGAGGGTCGCTGCCTCACCGCCTCGCGTCGCCCGGCGTCGCGACGCGTCGCGCTGCGCCGTCTGGCTAGCTGACTCACTTTCAACACGCGTGTCTGCGGTCGCGAGGGTCGCTGCCTCACCGCCTCGCGTCGCCCGGCGTCGCGACGCGTCGCGCTGCGCCGTCTGGCTAGCTGACTCACTTTCAACACGCGTGTCTGCGGTCGCGAGGGTCGCTGCCTCACCGCCTCGCGTCGCCCGGCGTCGCGACGCGTCGCGCTGCGCCGTCTGGCTAGCTGACTCACTTTCAACACGCGTGTCTGCGGTCGCGAGGGTCGCTGCCTCACCGCCTCGCGTCGCCCGGCGTCGCGACGCGCTGCGCCGCTGCGCCCTGCCTTTTCAAGGTTATGTCGATGGCCCGACCCGCCGCGACCCGTCCGCCCCGCCCCGCCCCGCCCCGCCCCGCCCCGCCCCGCCCCGCCCCGCCCCCCCCGGCGATCCGGGCCGGCCCGGCCGGTCCCATGCTGGGGCCGCGGGGCCGCGGGGCTGCCAAACCGGCTGCCAGCAGATGCGGGGCCCGGGGTCCGGGGCCCGGCACCGCCATTTCGACGGCGACCCCAAAGCGGTGGGCCAATGGGGACGCGACGCTTTTCCAGGTTTCCACAGAGTTCCACGAGGGACGCCGTCTATTTCACCGAAAGTGTGCGAGATCCCGCCAGCGGGCCACGAGGAGGCCGCCTGTTGGCGTGACTGACGGGGACGGGGATGTCACCCAGCGCCCTCGGGCGGGCCCCGCTCCACATACGTGCGCCACCCCGCCCCGCCCCGCCCAGGAAGCGGATTGACTGAAGGCCAATTTGTTGATCCGCCAATGGTCCCATTCCAGGAAGCTCTCCCCGCGCGGCGCCGCGCCACGCACTGCACCGGGTCGCCTTGCAAAGTATGGACATGCACTTACTTTCTTCCGCTTCGACACTGCGAGGGGAAAAGGGGGGGGGGGGGCAGGGGGGACTTCCACCAGGAAGTTGCAATAATACTCGCAAAAAAAGGGGCGGCCGTACAATGGCGGGATTTGAACCCGAGTCCACGTGGCGTGCCGGGCCGTGCCGGGCCGTGCCGGGCAAGGTGATAGGCATGGCGCCACGGTGCGGACACAGGCCAATGCTCTCTCCGTGCCCCCCTCCCCCTCCCCCTCGTCCCTTGACGCAGCACCTTTCCCCGACGCATCTAGAGCTTTCTGTCCATGCCCCCCTCCCTTTTACTTCTCACGCATTTCCGATGCAGGTTTGAGTGAAAAGCCGTGTGACTGCAGCACAGACCGTTTTACAGCCCGAACCAGAAAGTGTAAGCGACGCCAACCTTGCCCCACTGGCTGGGACGCTCGGACTCTCGGACACGATTAAAGCTATTTTCGGAGCTGACCGGCATCGCCCCCCCCCCCCTTTTCCCCCTCCTCTACCCTGTCCTTATTTGTCGTCAGCTTTTATGGAGGAAATCAAGAGTTAGCCGGCGGACTGGCTTCGCAAACGGCATCAAAGTGAAACGTGCCAGGCCATGACGGGCAGGCGGGGAGGACGAAGAAAGAAGAAGAAAGAGTCCAAGGACTACTTTGAAGTTCACAGCATCGTCTCTCTCTCTCTCTTTCTCCTTGGGGCGACCTTGATCTCTCCCGAAAGGGAACGTGCTTCATGCGAGCGAGAAGCTCTCGACAAACGGAAGGAGAAATGAGACGCGAGAAAAGTCCGCGTCGAGCGGAAAAGCGATTTCCCCGGAGTGCATATCGAAGTGCAGACAGCCGTGGGAACGGAGCGCGGCACGGAGCGCCGACGGCCCGCTCCGCTTTCACCGTGGAGGCGAAGCAGGCAAAGCAGGGGCCCATTTCGAGTGTCGGGGAGCACACTGGAGCACACTGGAGCACACCCACGACCAGGCTCACCGCCTTCTCCAACAAGCTACAGTTCCCGCCTCGAGGTGTTGCAAGGCCTCATCATTGTTACCCCGCATATACAGGCCATTCATTTGAAATTTTAATAAGGACATTGAAAATTTAACTGGACTTTTATGTGGCTGATGGCACAAATGCCAAAACAATCAATCCACAGTAAAAAACAATAAAAGCAAATAAAAACCGAAAAGTCAAACAATAAAGATAATTTTATAGCATTTCTTCCGCCCCCTTCCCCCTCTCTTCAGAGTTGAAGAGGTCATTTTTCTCCCCAAGATGATTAATTCTACTCGTTCACATGTTTTCAACACGACAGTTTACTGAAGCGAGCACTTCGACATCAACAACACTGAAGCGAAGGTAGTACGTCAACAACAACAACAACACCACTTTGACGGCAAACAAAGATCGAGGTAACACTTGGCAGCACTGGCGGCTGAATATATCCATAGAGTCCGCAGGTGGCACAGGTGGCACAGGTGAACGGCGTTGCGCGGGTGGCGGCGCGGGTCGCACTCGCACGACCAAAGAGGATGATGCACTGTGCGCTGCACTGCTGCACTGGCTGCACTGGCTGCACTGGACACTATTCGGTAGTACGTACCGACGGCCACGCAGGCGGAAAACACTAGCACGATGCTCTTCATGGCGGTGGATCAGACTGACTGCTACCCGGTCCAAGGCGCACCGCCCTTTATAGTGCAGGCCCCAGTCCCGCCGCGCCGCCCGCCGCGCCGCCAAGCCTCCAGGGGCGACTGCCCCGACCACCACCACAACACGGCCGTGCGGCCGACACGGCGCGGCAGCGGCGGCGGCAACGGCAGTGGCGCTCCCCGCGGCCGAGTCGCGAACCACACGCCGGCTGCCCCCGGCCCGCCCCCGGCCCGCCCCCGGCCCGCCCCCGGCCCGCCCCCGGCCCGCCCCCGGCCCGCCCCCGGCCCGCCCCCGGCCCGCCCCCGCCCGCCCCCGCCCCCGCCGCCCGCCCCCGGCCCGCCCCCACCGGCCAAGGGTTCGATGCTGTTCTTCCCCGTAAACAGCGACGTTAGTTGGAAATGAAAACCAAAGCGGTCTGGTTAGTTGCTGTGACCACCAACGCTGCCACTTAGCGAGCGTTCTCGACAACATTTTGTCGATAGTACACAGGTTGCAATCCATTAAAAGTTTCCATCGATGTACTGGAAAACTTGAAAACAAACAGGGAAATGTTTTCTGCAAAAGTGTCCAAATACACACGATGCCCGGTGGCGACTCGGCGACAGTGTGTTGGCAGGACATGGTTGCCAACAGTTGAGTTCGATTCGCCGAGCCCATTCCTTCAACGCTGCGCAGAGTGCACGTTGTACGGCTTGCTCTGACCGATAGTCGTTGTGTTCGATTCCTGCTGGATGTCGATCGTTTCCAACTATCCACAATTTTGTGTCAACGGTCGAAACTCGAGGCATTCCGTCTTCCTTTCCACGGCTTCGGTCTCGAACCTCGAACAGTGCAGCGGTCCGATGCGCGTCGCTCCCATTGGTTTGGGGTTCACGTCCCCGCGAGGCGTACGGACGTGCGGCACCTCCAGAAAGGGACGGGGGGGGGGGATGCAACGGATGCTCATCACTCGGACAGGCCCTCACGGAATGCAAAGCAGGCAGTGTGTCGGACCGCGGCTCGAACCATGCTGCTGCCACGTGGCTCTTTCTCAAGCGATTTGCCAAATTTGCCGCGTTTGGTGGTTGCGGCCATTGCCGCGGCGTCGCCTGACGGTCCTGGCGGCGGTGGGGCACTTTCCTGCAGCCTGATCCCGAAACTCTGTCTCTCTCGCACTCTTGCGGTGCACCCGAGGAGCGCGAGAGAGACAGAGCGACGAGAGCACCTTTTCGGAACGAGCCCGCTGGTGGTCGCCGTGCCCGCGGTACCCGCGGCGAGGGTGTTGCGGCGTTGCCGAATGTAGCTTAGCTTCGCCTTCGCCGCCCCGCCGCGGAGCGCCTTCTGCGAGTCTTCTCTTCATTAATTAACGGTGTCGCCATTCGCGGAGCGGTTTCATTTTTTCGCATGACAACACTCACTCCACAAAACGCTTCATTCCACTCGGGTGCAGCTAGCGCCGCAGCGCGCAGCGCCCGAGGCAGCGCCCGCCGCGCAGAGTGCCGCCGAGACGTAAGAGGTTAGGTCGATCCAGGCACTTCGCCCTGCATCACCCGGCCGGGGACTCGGGCGGCTCGGGCTCGTTTGCAGCTCGGGAAACGCAAGTATCGTCCATTACGGCAGCCAAAATTGAAATCAGACAGGAAATATCATGTTGTTTCTGCGCGGTCACATCTTTCCTCAATTTCTCATACCCTTAAGTCCGGCAGGCAAGAAGTTCTTGAGCAGAAAAAGTGCTCTGGGGCAGAAGAAATGCTGTTGGGCCGAAGAAAGAAGAAATAGTCTTCGGCGGAAGATATACCTTTTTTTCCCGGTTCAGTTTCAACAAACCGGCAGCCCCAAACTATTCATTCACTCATCTTTTATTTTCCTCGAGCGTTTAGTGAAGACATTGTCTGCATTGTGTGCGGGTGAGCACAGGACACGTGAAGTGTGTGAGGTAACAGCACAACGGGCGTCAGAGCTGGTGGGTGGTGGCGGCAAGACAAGGCCCGGCTAGAGCCCCGCCCCGCCGCCCCGCCCAGGCCAGCGCGCCAGCGCGGGCAGCGAGGAAGCGTTAGTGCCCACAATGTATGCGTGTGTGTGTCGTGGAGGCTGTCTTCACTTTGCGACAATGAGGGGCCGATTGAAAACGGGAGTTTAACGACAGCACGCTCGACGGGCAAAATAATTCACCCGGCAACTTTTTTTTTGAAGATGGTCAATTTTTGGTGATTGAAATTCGTGGTGAGGTTTTGCGAACTAAAGCGAAAGGTCGTCCTTACGGTGAAGGGCGGCAAGAAGGAGCTGAGTGAAAGGGAAGGAAGAGGAAGGGAGAAGGTGCGCGTCCTTGGAGGAGAGAGTGGGAGGGATGTTCCCGGCACCGCGTGCGCTGCGGGCAAGCCTGGGGCAAGCGGCACGTCCGCACATGTCCGGGGACCGTCTCTCATCGCGGTGCTCGCATTCGCACATCCCACTGCAGCCCAGTACAGCCTAGTACAGCCTAGTACAGCCTAGCCCAGCACCACAAGCTCTGCATCCTTGTAGGGCCGCCCTGCCGCACGCACCGCCCCGCCAAGCCCCGCGCCCGACCACTGCCGCCTCGCTGCACCGCACCCCGCCCCGCCCCGCCCCGCCCCGCCCCAGCACGCCACGCCCCACCCTTCCAGGGAACAATGCTGATGCACAATGCACGTGTGTCGACACTGTTCAACAATGCATACTAACGCTGCCCACGGCGGGAAATTCCCCTCCACGGAAGAGAAATATCTCGCTCGGGCTTGTCTCCGTACCCCCCTTAGTACTCGATTCCTACCTCTTTTCAGTCGAAGCCCACGGAGGCTGCTTGTTTTTGGCGGTGCAGGTCGAGACCATTGAGACAGACGATGCGGCCGACGCCGACCCCCGGCGCTACCCACTGCTACCCACCACTGCGCACATTTTCCTCCGTTTCGCTTTTTTTCTCGTCGCCGAGAAAGCACTGCTTCTCCTTCTAGGGGCGGCGGCCGACCGCGGTGCGCCATCCTCCAAGACGCGCTGCATCGCCCTGCATTTCCGGCCGGACGGACACACCGCGAGATGAGCCTCTCGCTGATTCGATTGGTGGAATGTGTGATTCTTTTGTCGCCGCGACGCACAATGGCGTGTCCGACAGTCCGACGCCCACCTGCAGCCTGCAGCGGCCGAGGGGCGGCGGCGGGGGTGGAAGCAAACAACAACAAAAGGCCATTGTCCGGCGAGGCGGCCACAGCCCCAGGCTGCAGGGCGGCGGTGGTGCGGAAAAGGCGCGGCGTTAACAGGTTAACAGTGGCCTGGCTGCCCCCTGGCTGCCCCCTGGCCCCTGGGCGCCACTGCCCCCGGGGCCTGGCCGCTGCCGCCGCTGCCGCCGCCGCCGCCGCACTGCCAAGGTCAAGGTCGGGAAGGGCGCCCCAAGGACGCGCACGGCCGGCCAAGTTCAAATTTCAGCCGCCATCTTAGCGCGGCCGAGACGTCGAGAGACTGGCGGCGGAAACCGGAAACCGCACCTGCAGGCCCGGCAGGCCCGGCAGGCCCGCAGCAACAAACGGCGACACCGGGCGACGCGGCACACTGTTAAGGCCGGCCGTCTCATCTTGAACTTGAAAACGCGGCGACGCCTGAAAACGTCCCGCCGCGAGCGCCGTTCCAGAAGGCACTGGCAGGAGGTGGGGCGGCGGCGAGGCGACGCGGCGAGGCGGGCTCTATCAAAATGATAATGTGAAAAGTGTGGCCCGCCGCCGCGCGCCGCGCTGGAGGAAACATCTTCTTCGGGGCCGCCGCCACCCGGCCCGACCCGGCCCGTCTGGCGGGGCAAATGCCAAGGCTAGCCGAGTGTGTGTGTGTGCGCGCGCGCATGTCCACAACTTTATTCCCTATGAAGGGATAATCCGGAGGAATGCGGGCTCAGACTAAGTCCGCCACAGTTCTGATTTTGGAGAACAAGATGTTCACACGACAATTTTCAAGCGAAGGTTACATCCATAAATGCAAGCGTATCAGGCACACCACACTTCGCGATGTCGGTGTGTGGCCGAGGGGAGTCACACAAACACGCACCGCGGGTCATTGCTACTTGGCGTTACTTCTCGGGTATTCGGCTGTGCTGCGAACCGCCCTCGGGGTCGGCCAACAAAACAAACCACTGTCACCAGAATTGATGACTACTTTGCCTTGCATGTCGTTGACGAGAAAGCTACCCCCGGGGCGCGCGGCGGTGCACTCACACACACACTCACACACACACACACAGCATCAGCACCCCTTCCCACGCACCCCCGGAGGCGCCACCGCCAGCGGCCGCGGCCCCGGCCAGTGCGTGCCAAGGTCACCGCGCGGCCACTTTCTCCCGGCGAGGCAGCGAACACTGACACCCATCGGCGAACTCTGGGCCGCGGGGACCGGCGGCGGCGGGGCAGGGGGCGGGGGAGGGGGGACGGGCAGCGAGCTGCAGAACTCTGTCGTTGGCGGCGGCCATGTCAACTGGACTCATTTGAAGATTTGAATCTCGAGTTGATTCTATCGACCATGGGCGAACGAATGCACCGCGGAAGCTACGACACATCACGCTGAAAAAAAACCCTGAAAAAAAAAAACCTACGCACTCAATGCGCATCTCTGGAACCGTTGTTATGATGCAAAAGCGAGGAACTGTTCCAGCGTGTTGCCTCTGCTATGCCGCATGATAAACAGAAGACGTTTGCCTCATTTTTCACACGGAGAGGAGCAGGCTGACCCGTAGGCACGAAATTGCGCAAAGGCGTCCGCGCGCGTCCGCGGCGCCCTGCCTGCTGGCCGTGCCCGCCAGCACCGCCAGGGCAGTGGCGGCAACACCAATATGCGATGCACGGTCTAGGGAGCTTGGAGGCTGACCTGGCCGGGGCAGGGCGGCAGGGCAGCACCGCGGCCCCGCCAGCGCCCGCTTACCATACAATGGGTGCACGATTAAAAACCAATCGCCGCCCGCCCGGCCGGGCCTTCCTATACTATTGCATTTCCATATTTTTCATCAATCACATAAGAGCCTGGCGACGCTGCCGCGGTGCCGCGAGGGCTGCGCCGGGCTGCGCGGCGTCGTTGCACCGACGGGCGGCGGCGGGTCTTTGGTCTGGAGCCAGAA